AACTGCTGCTGGGAAGACTGGCACGCACGCTATCCACTGAACTACATCTCCAGCCTGAAAGTATTTTCTTCATTTTGTTTTCGGAGCGCCTTTTGCTAGTACCTAGGATCCAGTTGAATTTTGCTTTGCAAACTTCATTTATTGCCAAAGATTGTGTATGTGTGTTTTCCTTTTTTTTTCTAACTTAATCATATGATCTTCAAATACGGAGTTCCTTTCCAAAGCAGGCTGTATTTATTTATTGTCCACTTGCACTGGCTAGAATTTCACTGACAGCATTGAACAGGGATGATGAGAGCAGACATTTCTGACCTCAGGGGCAGCCTTCCAGCATCTCACATGTCATGCATGGCATCCACTGTGGATTGGTTCTGTTGTTTTTAAGCACTTCATAGCAAGTTAAGGAAATACATTCAACTCCTAACTTAAATAGGCAGAAATAGCAGTATCCCTTTTATGTATTTTTGAGATAAGGTCTCACTGGTGGAGCTCTGGCTGGCTTGGAACTCACTATATAGACCAGGCTAGCCTCAAATGCACAGAGATCTGCCTCTGCCTCCTGGATGCTAAGATTAAAGGCAGGTGCCTTGCTTGGCTAGTATCCCCATTTTAGATGGGAAAGCCAGTCTCAGAGGTTAAGCCTCTTACCCCTGGGTCACAGACCTTGTCAAGAGCTAGCCACTTGAGAGAGTAGCACTTGAGGCTCTAAACTGGAGCTGTTAGCAAGGCCTCTCCAGTGGGGCAGAGGGTCAGCCTAGGGACAACCTCTGATTCTGTCCTTTTGGTCCAAATCCAGTCTAAGATTCTAGCTGCAGGAATCAGGATGACAGTGATGGGGAATGGGGGCAGATGACTTGTTATTTTTGCTGAGAGTCTGGGCCTTGTGCCATGGGGAGGAATCTCTCCTTAGGAGAGGCGAGGGGACCGGGTAGATAAGCATCTCCTCTGAGGTGGAGGGAGGCTCAGCTTTGGAGAGTTCTAGCAGTGAACTGAACTTGCTGAGGCTAGGTTCAACTTGACCTCTACAGATAGACAATAAACTGGGCCTGATAGCACAGCCTATAATCCCAGTCATACTGGAGGCTGGGACTGAAGCTGGAAAGTTAAAGACCAGTTTATTGTAGAATATTATTTTAAGATGTGTTACATTTGTTTATGCTGTGAACATTTGTTTTAATGGTGCAAAGATGTGTTGCATTTTTTTATGTTGTATTTAACTCTGTATTACTTTGCCTGTCTAGAACACCTGATGGTCTAACAAAGAGCTGAACAGCCAATAGCAAGGCAGGAGAAAGGATAGGTGGGGCTGGCAGGCAGACAGAATAAATAGGAGAAATTTGGGAGGAGAGCAGGAGAGATCAAGGAGCATGAAAAGAAGGAGCCAACCACGGGGTAAGAGTAGAAATAAGACTATAGAAGTAAGAAAATAAAAAAGCCCAGAGGTAAAAGGTAAATAGGATAATTTAAGAAAAACTGACTGGCAGCAAGCCAAGCTAAGGCCAGGTATTTATAAGAAAGAATAAGACTCCACGTGTGTATTTATTTCAGAGCTGAGTGGTGGACCCCAAAGAAGCCAAAAGAGTAAAACAACCAACACCACCAGCCAGGGTAACTTAGTGCCTCAAAATTTAAAGCAGAGAGGACTGGGAATGTAACTCTTGGTAGGATGCTTGTGAGAATTTCTGGAATCAATGGAACAAAACAAAAAGAAAAAAAAGACCTCTAAACAACCTCCCAAAATAAATAAATCATATAGAGAACTCTGTATTGACTAGCATCTACAGCCCATCGTCCCTGTGGGGCTAGTGCTTGGTCAGTGGTTCCTGGATACCACAAGATGCCCTGAATCCCGTTCTAAAGGATCCTTGAGGCTCAGAAAGAAATGAGAAGGTCTCGGAGTCCAAACTCCACTAAGCTTCTCTGTCAAAAAGTGGAAGTAGGAGCTAGAAAGCTTAACCACACTCACTCTTACAGAGGAACCAGGTTGTTACCAGCACCCACAGGGCACCTCACAACCATCTGCCTCTCCAGTCCCTCTCTATCAATGCCCTCTTCTGACCTCTGAGGGTACCAGGCATGAATATGGTGGACAGGTGTACATACATGCAGGCAAAATACCGATACACATAAAATAATAAGTCTTTAAAATTACGGAGCCTGGCATGGTGGCACAATGCCTTTAATCCCAGCACCTGGAAGGCAGAGGGAGGTAGATCTTTGTAAATTTGAAGCCAGCCTGGTCTACATAGTGAGTTCTAGGACAGCCAGAGCTATATAGTGAGATCCTGTCTCAAAAAGAAAAAAAGCCAGAGAGCTGAGGCTTGTGCTTGTGGATTGAATCCTGAAGCCTGAAAGTGGTTGCTTTTAGGGTTTCCAGGGTCCTAGTGTCTGTGGCTCAGTATTGGAGCACACAGACCTTGTTTGAGCGCCCCCTGTGTGGTCACCTCTGTATGAGTAGGTATTATCCAAACTGCCTGATACTTGGACCCTTGATAAGAATCTGGGAAAATTCCTCCTTCCTCTTCCAACATCTGGCTGCCCATCAGTTGTCTGGTGTCTGACCCTCGTGGACTGGAATTACCCAAGTAGGACCTGTCCTTGAAGCACTAAGGGAAGACGGCTTTCACAGCAGTGATGTTGGCATGGCCCTTTGCCTATGGCTCCCTCATCTGCTCCAGCTGCCACCTTCAAGCTGCTGAGGATGGATGTAGAAACTTACCCAGGCATTCCTAGATCCTGGCTCCCCCAGATGTCAACGTCTGTCCTGTCCCCTGTTGCTCCCCCACCGCCTGAGCAATCTCCCTGACTCCCCGATGAAGCAGCCTCATTTCTTTTTGACAGCCTTTCCTTGGAACAAAAGCTGGAAGTCTATCTATCCCTCCATCAGGGGCTGAGCCAGACTTCAGGGAGGTGGGAACTAGACTATTGGGAAGGGTCCCTTTGATGCTTTTTCTTGGTGTGATGTTCCTAAAAGCCCAGGACCTTGGGATCTCTCTACCCTGGGATGTGGTATAGTAGTCACCACGCATAGCAAGCCTGCTCAGCCACCATAGCCTGGAACCTAGCCACATAGCTGACCTTCACCGCTCAAATGGACACTACAGCTGTAGAGATTTGTTGAGTGGTGGCGATGAGGTGGCCATCATGCTACCTAGACACGCCTAGACACTCACCCCTGGAGAGTCCTGCTACTGACTGGGGGATAACAGAGAAAGGAGACTGTTCATCAGGGCAGACTCTTGAAGCAGGTGATGCAGGAATTAGGGCTGTGTATCTTCCTTACGAGGATTGTGGCGTTTTCCCCATCAAGGGCATACCTGGCTTAGACACGCTTCAGTCCCTCACCATTGTCTTTGAGAATTGACTATTATTATTTGTTTTTTCTTAATTGATTATAATTTTTTGAGCTAGAGTCTCATGTAGCCGAGGCTTGTCTGATCTTCCTGCTGTAGCCTCCTGAGTGTTGAGATACAGGTGTGGTTTTAAGATTGTTTAAACATTGATTGATTCTCTATATGAGCATGCTTCTTCTGTTACCCGTATATGGAGGTTGGGGGACAGCTTGAGAGAGGCTGTTTTCTCCCACCATATCAGCTTGCAGAGATTGGACTCAAGCCGTCAGGCTTGGTGGAAAGGACCTTTATTCATTAAACCTAATTTTAAAAAGTTCTTTTTATTGTTTATTCATTGATATGTGTGTTTACGTTGGCATGCCGTGGTACGTCACCAGTGCTTAGGTTATAGGTGTGTGTTACCACATCCAACAAGATTTGGCTGCTCTTTTACCTTTCTGATACAGACATTTGTCCTGGGTTCAGTTGAGACTGGGCCCAGACCATTTGTAGTCAAGGTAACGCAGGTGTAAAATCTTCCTCCCAGGAGATGCTCTCTGGGCACTCTCTGCCTTCAGGAAGCTCCAGCCAGTGCTGAGAGGCCAATCATGGATACTTGCGTGTCAGTATGATGACAGTAAGGTCTAGGGAGGGTGTCCCTGGGAAGAGCCTTTTAACTAACGACATGTTGGTCAGGATGAGTAGGAGCTGGCTACTAAGAAGGTGCGGCGGTGTATGAAAAAGGATGAGTATGTTCCATGTACATGACAAACCCTAAAGTCCTAAGCAGTGGAGGCACTGACCTTAACTGAGTTCTGTGGCACACCAGACTTGGTGCCAGGGTTTTGTGTACATTATATCAGCCAATGCTCTCAACAGCCCAGGGCTTTTCTTGGCAGAGCTCTGGGTGTTACCAAATGCTACTGCATCTATCTAGGCTCTCTCATCCTCAGTCTGCTTTTGGTGCATTTGTCCTGGGGTAAATACCACCTCCTCATGGGTATGGTCCTATTCTGTGACCGCTAAACTCCATTCACGAGCATTTTTGTTGCCTCTGTTCATAAAGATCACTTATGTGTGCTGCTTCCATCCGGTGATCCTGGCTACATAGCGTGACTTAGAAGGACTCTGCACAACTGTTTTTGGAAGAGATTGTGAAGAGGGTGTTGGTTCTTTAAGCATTTGGCAGCATTCACCAGAGACCCAGCTGGCCATGGCTTTTTTGTGTGTGTGTGGGAAGGCTCAAGCTATTAGAAATTACTCAGATTTTGTGTCTTGAGTCAGTTGTGATATTTGTGTCATTCCAGGAAGCCATGTTGAGCTTCATTATCTAGTCGTGGTTGGAATCCTTTCACACTCCTTCAGATTTCTCTTCTTGCAGTTAGAAGCAGTGTGTTTACTGTCAGTCCCCACACACAGCTTCACCTCCTGCATAAGCAGAGGGTTCCCTAATGTGCTTAGCAGTGAGCATCAGCTGGAGAGTGGGGACCTAGGAGTAGCCTGGGTTAATTTCCTCCTGTCTGTCTTGTGAATCCTGTTCCCACAAAGAAGGGGCATAAATTCTTTTGTCACTTTCTTAATGACACATGAGTAAAAGACTGTAGGTTGTTCCTGACAAGCTGGTCTTTCCTATCAGTGACATTGGTGCTAATTTCTCTTTTCTCTTAGGTGTTCACCTCCCATGGCCCCACAGTGATCATGCCCACGTGGTTCTGCTCTCGGGCCTGGTTTTCCCATGTGGGCCTGTTTGATGAAGGAGGACAGGTAAGTGCCAACCAGTAGAACTTGGGCTCTTTCTGGGTTCCCCTAGGTGGCGGGTGTGTGTGTGTGGGGGGGTGCCTGCAGGGCACCAATAATCAGGCCAGGATTTTCAGGAAATCACTTCAGACTCTTTCCTGTAGCACAAATAATAAAAACCCAGAGACAGAACTTGGGGTTCACAACCTGAAGGTCAGAAAAGCAAAACAGCCAGTCCCTGACTCTTACCTCACTTTAGTCCAAAATGACGATCCTGCCTCCAAGAATCTCAGAATGAGACTGTGTCTGTGAGCTGTCACCTTCCGTTTTATATTCCTTTCTAGGGCTGGGATTAAACACCTGGTTTCTGTGGCAAACTAGTGTGGCTACTCGGATTAAAGGTGTGTGTCATCATTGCCTGACCTCTAGTGGCTTTAGCCTTGCCTCTGGTCTTCAGGCAAGATTTATTTATCAAAATACAAGTATACCACTACACTTTCCAGCACCCCCGTGGTACTCATCATTGTGCTAATTGCAGTGGGTTTCGGTGAACATGCTCGGAGCCACAACGTCTCTGGTGCATCTTGGCTGTGGGCTCACGGTACCTCAGCTTGCATTAATGCTGTTGGTGGGAAACTGTAGGTGGTAAGGAAGGTATTAGCTACTTTGTCTCTACCTCTGGGTCTGTTGAATCCTCAGGGCTGGCTTGTATCCTGCAGGGAGCCGGCTAACAGGCCATATGGCCTTGCTGTCCTCCAGCCCCTGCCTAGCAGTAGTGAACATTCTCACTCCCAAGCAACATCTCTGCTGGTGAGCCTGACCCCAGTCTGAGCTAAGCCCATCCTCAGATCTGTTTTGTGTTATTTACTCTCCCTTTTGAAACCAGTTTGAGTAGGTATTGATTTTTCCATCCAAAACGTTCCCACCTCCACACCTTCCTGTTTGTTAAGGCTGTATGATACGGCTCAGAGACCTGTCTCAAGTTTTGTTTCTGAGCACATTGGTGTTTATATGGTGTGGAAGGAAGTGAATTTTCATCAAGGCAGTATTTGTTCTGCTTGAGACAAGTGTACTTTTCACCTCCATGTCTTTCTGCTTATTTCCTGGTTCCTAGCTCAACATCGCCCCCTTCTGACCAGGATGTTAAAATACAACCTTGTAACAGACTGAACTCAGGTGATATCCTTGCCTTCTGACGCATCCAGTCTCTCCCCTTTTCAGCATCTCATTGAGGGCCTCCCGGGAAACCAGCTAACCATCCCCTTTTTTTGCCACATTGATGAGATTTCCATTTTCCAAGGCCATGCAGCTCTGTGTTCACTGATTGCTGATAGTTTGCCCCAAGACCTTTTCTGCCCCACAGAGTAGAATTTAAGGCAGGACTGGACTTAAGATCCACACAACAGCCTACCCTCTGCTTCATCCTTATGTCTTAGAGTTCATTCCTTACCTGCTGAGGAACAAGTTACTAATCTCCATTTCTTTCATGTGACCTGCACCAACCTACATCACCCTTGAGTATCAACAGTGGATTCTTTTATTGAGGCAAAGTCTGGCTGTGGCATTCAGGCTGAGCACTAGCTTCTGGGCTCAAGCGATCCTGTGAGCTCTGCCTCCCAGAGAGCTGGGGCCACAGGGGCCACCATCCTTGGCTCTAAACATAACACCTTTCCACAGCTCCTGACAGCCTGGGTCAGTACCCAGCATGGTGAACATTGTCCTCTGGCTTTTTCAGGGGGTACCAGAGGACTTGCTGTTCTTCTATGAGCACCTTAGGAAAGGGGGTGGCGTCTTCCGTGTGGACCACAACCTGCTCCTCTACCGCTATCACCCGTATGCAGCCACACACTCGGTCCTTGAGTAAGTAGGACATACCAAGTCCTGGAAATTCCTGGGACGGCAAGGACAGGTAAGGTGCCAGTGTGGCCGGGCCCAGACCACTTGTAAGTCACTGGTGTGATTGGAGTCAGGACTTCATGAAGCTCATAAGGGTGGGGTGTAGGGAATACCACTGAGGAGGAAAGTGGTGGGGTCAGAGTATACTGTAGCACCTCATAGTAAGTCCTTCAGGGCTACCGGATGTCCTGTTTCAGAGGTCAGGAAATACCAGTGCCAAAGCCAAATACCGGTTTCCCTGATTGTTTGGGGTGAAGGCTTGCTCTCAGCTTTGTTCTCATTTGCTCTAACCTAGCGCAGCTCACCGTGGGACCCAAGAAAAGATCTGATGGGCTAACGACGGACCCCGTTTCACTTTTCTTTGGCACAGGCCATCTGTCCTTGGCTCTCCAAGCCCACTGGTTAAAGATGTAGAACCAGGCTTGCTCTTAGTATAAAAGAGAGAGCTTCTTAACTCTTCAGTCTGTGCTGTGTGTGAGACAGAGGTGTGTTACAAGAGAACGAGCAACAGACCATGGTTCTCACTAAAACCTCAGTCACATGAGCAAACTAGGTTCAGAAGTGCGAATGAAACAAACCAAGAGTACAGCTGTCTTAAAAATCGGCTAGTATAGGTTTATATTCATCCTGTGTAAACTATACCGGCATTAGAACACACAGCAGTGTTTCTCCCAAGAAGGAACCCCTTCCCAGTGTCCACTGATAGAAGTAGAAATTAGTCCCAGAACACTGTGGGAGCTATCTGGGCACCAAGCTGCGGGTGTTTCTGGTACTGATTCTACTGGCTGACCGAAACACTACACTCATCTCCTGTCATCCCGTAGGCCACGTGAGCGTGAGCGGCCTTGGGATGCGGCCATTTGTATAACGGGGGTCCTTCCCATGCTCGTCCATGAGTCTCGACTCCTGGGTGGTGGCTTGCAGCCCACCCAGCAGGCACTCCTCACGCCCTCAGCAGAGCGGCCTGTGTAGACAGAGTTCATGCCTTTGTGTTTTCACAGTAAGCTTTGCCACCCACAGCATAAAAATAAGTGATCTAATGTGAGTTTCTGTGTTGGATTAAAGTCTTTAAGCTGTGAGCCGCACCACCTCCCAGGATAGCAGCTGTAATTACAACGTGAGGCTCGCTGGAGAGTTGTCTTTGTCTAATCTATCAGAAGTCTTCAGGTGGCAATACCTCGATTCTGTCGTTTTTATTTCAGGCTCAAAATGGCCTGAATTTGTGTCATTTGTCTTTGTTCATGTGTGTAATACCTCAGATACCAAAGGACATAGAGAGAATAGCCCCTTCAGGAAATCAAGCATTCCTTAAACTCGTGAGCTGTTGAACCGACTGTCGCCACTTCATCTGGTGCCTTCATTCTTTCACTGAGGGTTCTTTGGTCTTACGATATGTTTAACCTTTTATGATACCCAGGCTGCTTATATTCTGCAAGCTGTTAGCTTCCCATTATCACAGTTGAGGTCTGAAGAGAAGTATGTTTCTGACCTTGTTCCCTGGCAGTATGAGGCTGGGTTCGTGCTTTTCTCAAATATTTGGAGAGAACTAAATGGGGCCCTTTCCCCAGATAAGTGCAGCAACAAGATGCACCTCAAAAGTAGGAATGAGGGGACCAGACACGTCCTGACCCCTGGTATTCAGCCCAAGACGGCTTGTGCTGACATACGGCTGCTGTGGTACCTGATGGGACAGGTGGGCCATCCCCCATGTGCCTCTGGCAAGATTTTTACAGCCTTTTGTTTCTGGCCACAGATGCTACTGACCAGTGACCATGCCTTCTGGGAATAGGGGCCTTTCGCACCCCACCAGCCATCGCTTACCCATGGACTCTTGTGGGTGGTACAGTGCTGAGTCTGTGATCTTTCAGTCTCAATGTGGACATTTGGGTCCAAGAAAACCAGTTCCCTTAGCTGTTGACCCCAGCTCTAAGTTGATGGTCTCCTAACAAAAAGACACAAACTTGCTGGATGCCAGATGGCCTGTTCTCCAGGCAGATTCCTAGGGGAAACAAGACCAGTGCAGGATGCTCTAGCAAGGCCCAGATGTCCTGCAGTTTCTGCATCACACCTTTTAGTAACTGCACGCAACCCCCCTTCCCGTTAGAAACCACCTAACAAAACTCAGGATGCTAAGAGCCTTACAGCTAGAGCCCAGTCCTGGTGGACAGGTTTGGGATTGCAGTATAAAGTCATTGGTGCCCAGGGTTTTGGGAAACCAAGTTGACTTCACTGTCCAGTTAAACCCACCATCCTGTAAATAAGCTTCACAGTAAGCTTCACAGACGGAGCATAGCAGGATCAGGGTTTTTTCTCACACAGAGATACCCCAGTGGACCCAGCGAGTGCGTGGGCAGGATCTCACCAACACATCATCCGTGCTTAGTCTCTAGCAGGAGCTGCTGTTGTACATGTTTACTTACCTATGACCATGTCACATACATACATGCAGAAAGGCACATGGGCAGTCACGGCACGTGTGCACATATACCGCACAAGAGCACTGTGCATGTACCCTCATGGATTTGATGCATACATCACATCTTGCTCAGGGGACTGACCAGAACAGACCTCTTGAAGTGACCAACGCTATGGGAACAAACTCTCAGGGTATCCTCAGAGGTCAAGTGAGGACAAGCAGCCCTCTAGCCGCGTCTAGGCAGGGCATTCCTTGAGGAGCCCGAGAGGACATAGAGATGCCTCATAGCCCCTGCTACATCTCCTGTGTTCATATCCATGAACCCTTCACAGTGTGCTGTCTCCATGCAGGTTTCCTGCAAAGGCCCTTGCTGGAGGCAGAAGGGAAGGGGCGCTTGGGGCTAGGATGAGATGGAGGTTGGCTTGCTGGCATCTCACAGGGTCTGAGAAGCCTGTGCCTGGGGTTGCTTCAGCCTCATTTTGTTGAGAACCCTCACCTACACTTAGAGCAGACAGACAGGTGTGTCAACACCTCTGCTGGGGGGTGCCAACTAGTCTTGATCTTTTGCCTTTGACTTTACCCTCCTGCCTTCTGCTCCCATATTGAAACTGGCTGGGCCCATCACTCTAAAGTTTGCTGAGAGATACAAATCAGAAGGTCCTTTCTTGGCTTATGACATTGCTGAAGTATCTGACCCTTGCTTGAGGTCTGGTGTGAGATCAAGGTTCTCACTCTCAGGGCCTTCCCTTTCCTTGGGTGACAGTATGGCTGCAGAGGTATATGTATGGGGCTGAAGCAAGTCCTGTGTGTGACTTTCTCTTATAAAGGGGGCACTGCAGCCATCGAGAGAACTGGCTGGGGTTCTGGCTGGGGTTCAGGATTAAATGTTGTTCCCCAGAACCTCCAGGGAATCCCCTACCAAAACCACTGAGCTAGGCACAACCCTAATTAGAATGTTTTCACACAGGAGATCTCAGGGAGATGCTGAACAGGCAAAGCATGCTTTGATGTGGGTAGTGACGTCAGGAGGCACAGCCCTGAATACAAGGGAGGCACCATCCAAAGGACAGAGTGCTAGGGTCTGGGAGGCCCTTAGATGAGGGGCAGCAGGTGAGGAGATCTCAGGAGAAAGAACCAGCCCTGGAGATCTTCATCCAAGGGCCTACTGTGCCCAGAAAGGGACCTCTAGGGTAGAAAGTTTATTTCCTAATGTGACTATGACCTTACCCAGGCCTTTCTTGTGAGTATTGACTCCTCTGTGAAATTAGCCCAGGGTGGTTTGGTCCACTCTCACTCCTTTTCTCTTTCTAACTCAGAAGGACTAGTTGCCACATTTAGAATTTGGAACCTGGGGAGATTGAACTTAGGTCCTCATGTTTCTGCAGCAAGCACTTCACTGACGGAGCCAGGTTCAATCTCTAGCACCCACATAAAAAGCCAAGGCAACACACACCTGTAACCCCAGTGCCGAGAAGGGAAACAGGATCCCTGAAGCTTGCTGGTAGTCTTGCTGAGTTGGCGAGCTCCAGGTTCAACCCTGTCTCAGGTAGGGTAGAGAATGATAAGATACCTGATGCCAGCCACTGGGTTTTGCATGAACCCTCCTGTTTGTGCACACGTATACACACCTGCCACATACTGGAGGCACTCGTGTGCTGGTGGAACTGGCAGCTGTGGAGAGGCCCCCATCCATCAAGTCTGTATTTCTCAGGGTCCCAAATAGAAATTGGGATCAGTATGAGTGGCTAAAGGCTTCCCAAAGAGCATTGCTGTACATGGTGGCTCATGGTGACCTCTAACTATGACAGTGGTAGGTAGAACCAGATCTCCCTTGGTTTAGACTTCATGTAAGCCGTTCACGTGTGTCCCCAGGACTAAGGGGTAAGGTGGCTCTGGAGCCCACAACATCTGGCCAGCCCTAGCTTTTCCCTCTGCTTGGCTACAGGGTGACCATCTGGACCCACCGTGTCCACTTCCTAGAGGAACAAGTCCTGCCCCGTTGGAAGTGCTTCACCATTTGGAATGCAGGCAAGCAGGGGCGTAGGTTATACCGCAGCCTGACAGCAGCCAGCCGGTGCAAGGTAGGACCCTGTCCTCCTCATCCCGTTGGCCACTCTCCTGACTCCCTCAATCCTGTCATGTCTTTACCGTACACCCGCAACCACCATCTGACCTGCCTGTCCGTGTTCACCCCCAGGTGGTGGCCTTCTGTGATGTTGATGAGAACAAGATCGGAAAGGGCTTTTACTGCCATGAGGAGTCTCAGGTATGTAGACCACCAAAACACCTTAGAGGGGAGGATCATCCATACCATGCCAGCTTCCCCTTATACTTTGGCATTTTTGGCTCTGCCCAAAAATGTAGCCCTCAAAGAGTCTCCAGGACCCCTTAGGACTCTGCCCCTGTCCTTGGGGGAAACGGCTACATGTTCCTTCGGTATGGGCATCAATGTTGGCATACCAGAGTTGGTTCTTGTGGCTATCAGGTGGCTGGGGCTGCTAGAATCCGGGACACAACCACCTGTCCTGCCCCGACTGGCCCAAGACTTCCGTCAGCTACTTGACCACAAGCTACTGAGAGTAGAAGCTATGGTTAAGACAGGTTCCAGGGAGTTCCTTCTGCGTGACGCCCTAGTGACTCATGGCTGGCACCATCTTTATAGGAGAGACCCAAGCCGAAGGTCCCCATCCTGCATTTCCAAGCTGCCCGGTCCCCCTTTGTCATCTGTGTGAAGCTGGTGAGTGTTGGCTCTGGTGGTGGGGCTCCTCAGTGCTTTCCCACTCTGACAAGTGACTAAAACAAAGGACACCAGAGCATAGCCCGCTTCTTGTATCCTTATTGTAAATCAGCTATAGTGGTATCTTGTTTGTGCCTTAGTAAGTAAGCTTGCCTGAAGATCAGGGTGCAAGGCCACACTAGGCAGCCATGCAGTGGTGGCACACACCGTTAATCCCAGCAGCCACACTAGTTAGCCATAGAGGCCAGGTGGCGGTGGTATATACGTTTAATCCCAGCACTAGAGAGGAATCTAAGACCGGAGGAGACAGGTGACCATAAAAACACCCTGAGCTAAGTTAGAGGTGGGGGATGAGGTGGGAACGCCTGGTAACCCCCTTGTAAAGCTGTTCTCAAAGTCATTGTTCTGAGCCCAGCTACCACGTTCAAGCGCTGTGGCTCATGTTACCTGAAGGGCAGCCTTGCCCACATAGAGTAACAGCCTGGTGGTGACCAGTGGGGCCACAGGACCCTGCTTCCGTTCATCTGGTTTCTCTGCTTTTGGTCATGTGGACATAGGTGCCAAGCATCCTGTTTCTGTGGAAAACAAGGTTACTTGTGGTCAGTGTTACACAGAATCCCATTCTCTCCAGGAAACGAGTCCCCAACAACTGTGCCAAGCTAACAATGATGGGACAGCAAGGTTCTGGTGGAGCTAGGGCTAACCTTTCTTCATCTGCTCTGGACACTGTTTCTTGGCTGGTCAAGCATGTGGCAGATTCCCTCTTGGGAGTCTGCTCTTCAGATATTCCCAGAACTCTTTAATGGGGTGACATTAATGGATTCGATGGTGATCCTGCATAGGAAGTTCTTATACAGAACGTCATGTTTTTTAACAGAAAGCATCCATCACAGTTGAGTTCACCTGGAAGGGATGTGTACTGGGCTGTGGAGGGCTAGTATGTCCTGCCCGTGGGACCTGCCCCTGGTCATCGACCGTGTGCAATCCTACTGGTCAGTAGCCCTGTACGTCCATGGCTTTTCCTCACTGTAGTAAAATGGACCTGTCTTTCACTGAGAAGCTTCTGGGTGCAGGCTGAGGCAGAGCTAAGCCGGCCTTGTATCCCAGTCACTCTTGTCAAACTGTATCTGCTCACCGCTGGCCTCGGAGCCACCCACCATCCCGCTCCAGCTTTGGGTCCAGGGGAGTCTTATTCCTAAAGGTCTCATGGCAAGTGCTGGTAAGTTGTCTATTATTTGCTTGACTCCTTTTATTCTTGGATAGTTTGTCTCTCTCCAAGTCCTATGGGAATTTCTAGACATCTACCAGGAGAGACAGCATGGCCACCCTAAATGTCAGCAGCCGCAGGACAAGGTATTACCAGCTTCAAAGATAGTGCTGTCACCCTCTGTTACAGTGATGGATATGGTGGGCCCTCAGCAAAAGGTGTGGCTGTCCCCCACATGTGGGGCCATAGGTGGAACTCCAGCCTGTGTTTCAACCCGTGGCTTCCAATCTGTGACAGCTCATTTCCGGTCATTACAGGGGTAGGCCTGGGTTTTAGCCCCCCAGAAAGTGAGACACGTCTATCTGTCTGTGTCTCCTATAGAGTGGTGTCACAGTAGCAGATAACAGTCACACCTGGAAACGGGTATATGATACTGTGGGAAAGAAAGGCCCCTCCTTAGCTGTTTCCACTGCTTACCAAGCATCTTCTAGCAGTCTGTAGCATTTCTCTTAACACAGTAAGGAAGATGGACCTGCCTGTGATTGTGTTACATACTTTGGATATTCTTTGTGTGCATGGTATATTTGTGTATGCTAGGGGAGGTCAGAGGTTGACACTGGCTTCATCATCACTACTGAGACAGGTTCTTTCACTCAGCTCCCTGACTGAGCAAGACTATAGCAGGGAAGCAAACCATTGGGTTCTCCTGTCCCCGATTCCCCACTGCTGGCATGCAGGTGTATACCACCACACCAGCCTTCACAGTGGTGCCAGAGACTGAACGCAGGTCTGCATGTGCGTGTGGCAAGCACTTTACTGAAGCCATCTCTTGTTCCAGAATTTTAATTTATAAGCTGATGGTATATTTTGCCGTTTCGAGTAACTTACATTATTTGACTTTGACCCTCATTCTGAGATGGATTACACGACCCACACCTATGACTAGGACTTCTGCTCTTTGTGATACAGTGAGAAGTTATTTTAATAGAAAGGTTGGTACATCTAATTGTCCCGGCCTCACATTAGGCAGCCCATTCTCTTGGTAAGGCTGAGATGATCATTTCTGCTCCCTGGTCTCTCTCTACCAGTTCCTGCTCACATTCCAGGGTCTCACCACAGGAGGCTACTTTTACATTTCTTATTTAAAGGAACTTTTTGTATTGTGGTCCGTGACACACAGAAGATGGTTCGACACAGGTTAGCAACCACTGGCCTGCAGGTCACATTTAGCCCTCCACCTCTTTTCGTAAGTATCTTTATTAGAAAAGAGGATGTGCGCTCACAGGGCAGAGTTACAGCCTCCTTAAGAACAGTGCAAATGTTCCAAGGGGCTGGACGAAGTGTCCAAAGTACCCTATGTAGTATGTGCAGGCTTCAAAGAGCTATGGGCAGTAGCAGGACACCATATGAGGCTCACAGCATGGCCCCAGCTGGCAGAACACCTTCCTGGCATCCATATAGCACTGTGTACACACAGTAGGACCGTCTGCTTGCCACTCATGTGGCCATCTGTGAACAGATCCCAACTCTTTGTCCTTATGACTGATTCCTCTCAGCACCTATGTGGTACAGATTATTGGGTCTTGTCGGCATGTCAGGACCATGGCTTGTGGGAGTTATTGGCCATGCTGCCGTGAGCTCCATTCCTCTGGTTTGTCCTAGAAGAGAAGTCTGGCTGTGACACCTCCAAAGGCCACCCATGTTGGATGGCCTGTTTCTACCCTTTTGGAGAACTATCTTGCTGTGGTGTGGGGGTGTCTCACTTGAAGCTGAGCACCACTCATCTGGTGGGAATTTAGATTCAGCCTGCCATGTTTAGAACTGGTATTTCTCCTCTACAACTCCGGTGTTAACCCTTGTTGGCTTGTGTCCTGCAGACACCCCTTCCCTTCATGTGTCCTCTCACTCTCCCAGAACATGTTAAACACAGGAGCATCCAGTGAGTAGTTCCGTGTTCAACAGTGTTAAGTCTCATGGGGGCAGACTCTGACCTACCCTGGCCCAAGCCCGATAACTTCTCTGAATATGGGGAAGGGAAAGGAGGGGAAGTGAGAGGGAAAAGAGGAAGGGCGGCAAGTGTGGCCACTGTGGACATTTCTGCTTTTTCAGGCAGCTCACTCAGGTGTTTCACTTTTACTTTTTGTTTTTTGAGACAGGGTTTCACTTTGTAGCCCTGGCTGTCCTGGAACTCACTCTGTACCAGGCTGTCCTTGAACTCAGATCTCAGAACTTGAGATCCGCCTGCCTCTGCCTCCCAAGTGCTGGGATTAAAAGTGTGCGCCACCACTGCCCAATTCACTCGAGTGTTTCTGACCACCGGTAGCAATGATGGGACAAGTAGGGTCAGTGTCACAGCCCAGCTCAGAGGCCTGTTGTGCTGGCCCAAAGACAGATGCCTTAAGAGAAACAAAGCGGTCCCTCCCACATCCTACCGGATGCCACTAGTTGGGCTGTTCTTTAGCAAGATTATGGTCCTTGCTCCCTTTAGGGACTGGGGGTGGGGGTGACAGGTAAGAAGTCACGGGGTGGGCACTTGGTAGATCTTGCAGAGATGAGACAAAGTTCCCTGAATAGCAGGAAGGAAAGGTAAACCAGAGAGTGCCTTATCTGCCTTCTGGAGAGGGGCAAGGCCAGACAGCAAGGGCACCTCTCAGTACCTCACCCTACCGGTGGCCAACACCAGTCCTAGCTGCAGCTCTGACTAGCCTTTGGTTTCCCTCTCCCCTAATCAGCAGAGGGAGGGTAAGTGGGCCCAGTCTCAGTCCCTGCAGCAGTCAAGAGCACGAGGAAGCCTGACTGAGCTGGATCTCCTCTCCCCACAGGACCTCACAGGGGGTGCATTTGAAGACAACCTGAAGTCACTGAACTTGCAGGAAGGCCGGGACTTCGTTCATTTCAGCTGAGTTTGCCACCAGGTGTCTGCACTGCACCCACTGCAGGTTCTGAGCCTTGTCTGCTCTACTCCCTTCCACAGACAACTGTCCGTCACTCTCTGCTTCCTCCAGCTCCTCCCCTCACGTTCTGTTCCTTAGTTTTCACCCTTTCATTTCTGCTACATAACTTGAGGTCTTAATCTTCTAAGCACCACTTTAGGCAAATTTCCTGTGTTTGGTAACTTGGACCAACTGGTTTTTTTTTTTTGTTTGTTTTTTTAGTTTTTCGAGACAGGGTTTCTCTGTAGCTTTGGAGCCTATCCTGGCACTAGCTCTTGTAGACCAGGCTGGCCTCGAACTCACAGAGATCCGCCTGCCTCTGCCTCCCGAGTGCTGGGATTAAAGGCGTGCGCCACCACCGCCCAGCTCCCAACTGTTAATTTTTAAAATACTACTTTACCTTTTAAAAGCAGGAGTCTATATTATCAAAGTTGCTTCTAGGTTCTAGAAATGTCTATTAAGCCAAACTTTTCTTCATTTTTCAAACCATCTGTACTAGCTACTTTTCTCATTAGTGTGACCAAATACCAAACAAGCAGCAAATTCTGGAGGTATATATAGGCTCGTGGTTTGAGGGTGGTATGGTCCGTCAAGGTAGGGAAGGCATTGACGGTAGGCATTGTTCTTCACAGCTGGGACTCTTCACCCTCTCATGTCTTTAGAGAGAGGACCAGGCTCTAAACCCCATCATCCAGCAACCCACGTCTTCACAACAGGCCCTAATTCCCACAGGTGCCACCACCTGGGAGTGAATGATTAAACTCAAGCCTGTCGGGCATTCACATTAAATGATAAGATTTAGCCTCTCAATTTAAGTGCCCATCCCAGATGGTAGGCTGGCTTTGCTCTTCCTGATTTGCTTTGTTACTTACTGAGGTAGTGTCTTACTGTGTAGCCCAGGCTGGCCTTGAACTCTCCCTCCCATCTCCACCTCCTGAGCAGTGGGCTACAGACGTGTGCCCGGCTTAAACATTGTTAGTACATCCACATATGTGCAAGGTTTAAAGCTCTGACATCTTCCTGCTCAAGGAAACGTGGGCATCTCCCTCTCCAAGGCTGAGCCTTCCCAAGTTTTGTCTGTGTCCCTCCAGGTTAGTCTTGTCTTTAGATGGGGACTTGAATGCACTCCCGTTGTGTCAACAATCTCCTTATTGATGTTTGTCACACCTGTCCTTTTTCTCGTCTTTCACGTTAAGACTCTCTCTGCTGCTGCTGTGATACCTTCCTCGGCAGCTCCTGGCGGGTCAGCAGGCTCACCTGGTGTCTGGGTTTCCTACACACCACCCTCACTCAGATCACAGGACTAAGACCCCTTTTCTACCTCACTTGTCCATTTGAAGAAATTTTACCTGTATATTAAACCCCATATTAGCTACCATGCATTTCTCCCTTGCTTGGTATCCTGACGGAAACTGCCTGCATGAGGTCATTTTCTGCTGCTTAAAGCTCACCCACAGAAATCACTGCTTTTCAGCTGGGGATCAGGGAGACTCTGACTGCACTGAATACTACAGCCCACTTTCTTGAATGGTAGTTACACTGTGGTAGTCTGAATGTGTTTGGCCCCCAGAAGCTCATAGGGAGTGGCACGATTATGAGGTGTGGCCTTGTTAGAGGCTGGATGGACAGGTGACGCGGGCCTTTAATCCAGACCTTGAGGCTGGTGGTCATATCTTTAATCTGGGCCACACCTTCTTGAGGAAGTGTGTCACTGTGGGGGTAGCCTTGAAGGTTTCATATACTCAGGACACTCACTGCCCAGTGAGTCAGTCAACTTCCTGCTGCCTGCAAGATGTAGGATACTCATCTGTTTCTCCAGCGCCTGCCTGCTTCCTGCCATGAGGGACTGAATCTCTAAACTGTGAGCCCCTGCAGTTATATGTTTTGAGATGCCATAGTCATGGTGTCTCCTCATAGCAATAGTTAACCCCACCAAAGACACACACCATACACGATTTAGCCAAGCTGACAATTTTTCAGTATAATGCAGATCTTACTGTCTTCCTCAACTCCAATGTCCACTGGTGAGCTGGTAACCACTGGACTACCATCTGCCTTCTTAACAGTAATTTTACCCACCCAGGGCACCTGGTGCCGGCTCAGATCCCACCCCCACCTCCAAGGACTGGTTGTCTAACCATGAACATTCCTAGTCTGGGAAGCAGGGATACAATATGGACTTACCAGCTGTCCTTCTGGGTAGCTTCTGACCTTGCAGAATTCTGTCTTGAGCTGGGGCCTCATCCATATAGGACCTTTGCTTTTGCTATTTTCTCAGAAGCTCTTCTGTTTTGTTTCCTAATCTGTCTTTTAATTTTTTTTTAGTATAAATATTGCACGTGAGTGTAGTTTCTGCTGAGGCCAAAGATACTGAACTCCCCCGAAAATGAACTTACAGGTGGTTTTATGGGTGCTAGGGATGAGCTCAAGTTGTTTGCAAGATTACTCTGCTTTCTTAACCACTGAGCAAATCTCTCCAGCTCCTATCCTAATCTCTGACCATTTCTACCTCTTAACTTTTTTGCAGGGAGAATTGTTATTTATGGGGAGGGATAGGGTTTCCTATATCCCAGCCCAGCTTAAAATGCTCCGCATGCCTCCTCAGAGATGATCCTTCCAAGTGCTAGGATCCTAGGCACCTACCACCACACCCCATTTATATGGTGATGGATCATCAACCCAGGGTTTCTTCTGTTTTTGTTGGGACAGGTTTTTCTATGTCATCCTGGAACTCACTATGCAGACCAGACTAGCGTCAAACTCAGAGACCCGCCTGCCTCTGCTGGGATGAAAGGTGTGCACACCATTCCTGGATGTTTCTTCTTCACTCAACGCAGTGAAGACCCAACAAGAGCCAGAGTTCCTTCCATGAGGACAGATTTCCGTCTACCAGTGTTGAGAACACAGCTCGGTAGAGTTCCAGCTTTATTAGGTTTCTTGTGGCCTTTTATCTACTCTGCCCTGCTACCACCAAAATTTCATCCACTAGAAAGAAGCAGGGACATGGCCTTGGGCACACACAGCCTCTATGCTCTCTCTCTCTCTGAGGTTAAAGCTCAATGAGCAACATTCAGCAGGCTCCCAGGCCTCGGATATAGACAGATCAAAGAGGCAGGCATGAGGCTACCACAGCAGGACAGGTAATGTACGTCCTGGGACAGGAAGTGCAAAGGATCCAGGCCCGGGGACCAGAGCTGTCCCGTAGTCCCACAGGGACACTGGATTCTGAGGCTCTCTTGCTCAGACCATGATAGGACTGCTGGGGACGTGGCTGGCTCAGCATGAGGAGGAGAGAGCTCCTGCCACTGCATGTGCCCAGCACTTCCCACTCCACCAGGGTGTGAGCATCTGCCATGCTACAGAAATCACTAAGTGCCTAAAACCCAGCAAAACACCAGGAGCGGAACCCACGGTGGATCTTCACCTAAGTCCCAGAGATGGAGGCCGGGCTGTATGGAGCATGATTTAATGGGAAGCACATGGTGTTAGGACAGCAGAAGTACGGGCAGACCAGGCCACCAGAGGACAGCATGCATGAAGTCACTGCGCTCTGTGGATGGCCTCCCAGTCCAGCTAGCAGCATGTGCCACCTTTCTCAGGTGTGTGGCACCAAGTTTCCATGATGGTAAAGCTTGTTGTAGAGCCTCGGGGCAGGGCATCCCAGCTAGGCAGGCAACGGTTCAGCTTCCAGGAGCAGGCTGTAAAGATACACAGCAACGTCAGGCTAGTCCCCACCCTCTGATGTATGGCTAAAGGCTGCCATGTCCCAGGATCCTGGCAGGTTGGTGGACAGAGTAGGTTGCTAAATGTTCTTTCCATTGATAGAGAACTTTGAAGTATGTGAATGAACAGAGTTGAAAAACTCAAGTTCGCTCTCCATATAGGAGACTGAGACTACATCCTGGCTCCCCAAGGGGGAGGCCCTGGGAGAACTCAGGCACACAAACCCAGCATAGCACACACAAGAGAGGGAAAGAACAAAATCCTTTCCAGCATGCGAGGTAACAGGAGCTCAGGGTTTAAAGCTAGATCATCAAAGCAAAGCAAACAGGAAAAACAGTAGCTGACCGTCAAGACTGTGTCAGCTAAATACCAAGGCCTCAGGGTTAGGGCAAGCCCAGCTCAGAGGTCAAGGTCAGGGATGAGGCAGTAGGCAGGGAAAGGGTGCTGGCCCCAGGGTAATCAGGGACAGAAGAATAGAACAGTGAACAAGTTAGCAGGATGGGAAATGAAATCCAGATAAAGAAACTGTAAACAGGAAGGTCAAATAGGAAACAGAGACTATGAACATAAACTTGTCAGTAATTAGAGTAAACATGAAACACTAATTAATAAAGACCTGTAAATGACACAAAGGCATAATTTACTGTACAGAAGACAAGCTAACCAGATGTCACCACTAACAGAGGCAGAGGGGATGTCAAGTGTAGGAACACCTAGTTAATAACAGCTCCAGAGTGCACCCCCCAAAGTTCAGACATAATTAAAGGACAACCGAGACAAACGCAAACACTGCTTCGTCAGTACTGATTGGAGTAAGACGACAGAATCCCCACCATGGGGGCCTGCAGCAAGGTAGGAAAGTCATCTCTGTCAGGCACACCTGAACTGTCTTCTAGGAAGGGATGTATCCCACAGGCCAGGAAAAGCCCAAGGGTGGAGAAGGACTGGCTGACTGGAATGTTCCTCTGTCCCTGACTCACCTAGGACTCCAGCATGAGGCTGGGCTTCTGAAGGCTTGGGTTCTATAAGGGCAGGGAGCCCATGTCCTACGCCACAGCTAACATCCGACAGCAGCTTCCACAGCCAAGCACAGGCAATCAAGAGGACTGAGGCCCCAGTGGGACAGAAGTCCAGGGAGACACGGAAGCCTGAGGGGACAGGTGTCCTCAGAGTACATCCAGGCAGGGATGATAAGAGAACGGACTGTGGGACCCGGTTTACTTTAGACAGGAGCTCAGAACAGCAGACAGCACAGGCCCCATGTATCCTCAGAATACTTGTTACCTTTGTAGCCAGCTGGGGTCTGGGCACACCAAGGAGGTCACACAGGTGATTCCGCTGCCCTCTTACAACTGGAAGCTCTGCGTCCCTGGGGAGTAAAACATTTGAGTCCCCGAAGCCAACATGGTTCAGTTTCTTCCCCCAGAGTAGATACCAGGGCCCATACCCTGTTCTAGGAACATACAGAAGAGACGTGACCTCAGGCTAAGAGGCTTCTGCATCTTCATTAGAACTCAGATGCTGTTGATTTCATTGAATAGAAAGGTACAAAGCATGTTTTGTAAGGGTTAGTAAAAATAGTCCTCTGTAAACCAGGTGTCATATTCTTCAGAGTTCCTAACACCCATGTAGGGCAACTCACAACCACCTGTAACCCCGGCTCTAGGGGGATGTGGACATCTTTTTTTGGCCTCGGCAGGCAACTGCACTCACATATGCAAGCCCTGACACATGCATACACAAAGTTCTCCCTCCCTCTCTGCTGTCCTTTCTCAAGATGAGTGTTTTAGGAAGTTGGAAGCAATGCCCATTGCTTCCACAATGGAAGCAGTGTCTCATCAGAAGGCACCGTGCTAAGTTTCTACTGACAGCAAAGACCTTGAAATGCATTCTGGCCTTCCAGGCCCCCACAGCTCTCACCGAGGCAGGAAGGCCACATCCTAGCATGAGCTCCTATGGAGATCGCTGTTCTGGGGAGCATGCATGAATATACATCACAAACCCTCACTTGCTACCACCCCAACAGACCTGCCAGCATTTGAGATCAGCAATACCCCTCTCCATCAGTCTGAGTGGACAGTGTCCGCAGTAGCAGTAACTTGGCCTACCTGGCTGTGCCTCCCAAATAGTATATCTGCTACAGGGGACAAGTCAGCTTGGTAGTGCATACATATGTGACTATGAGCAGCTGTATGTATGTAATCATGTATGCAAACATGTATATGAATGTGTACAGTGCCTGGATCACAGGTCATATAAGGTAACTGCTTCCAGGCTCAGGCTGGAATGTCTGAGAATCACACCCACAGGCTGTACACCCCACCACCACCATCTCCTCTCCACTTCTTGACTTTGAAGACAAGTCTCTAAGGCCATTAAAACAGGAAAGATCACAGGGCAGTAGGAAAATAAAAGTTGCTAACTGACACCCACTTGGTGGCATCCTGATGACCCTGTATTCGAGTTACTGAAGAACACCAGCTTCTGAGCCACTCTGCCCACCTTGCTTACAAGAGAAAAGCAGTCACACATTAAACATTTTCCTGAAGCTCCCAGGATGTGTCTGTCCTCAGCCCTATGTGAAGCTATTGAGGGTTAGAAATGTCTCCCCTCTTTCCATCAGAAGCTAGGGGGACAGGAGAGAAGTGGCAGCAGCTCAGGCAGGCCCTACTTACCAGGCTGTGTCACTGAGCACAGACATGACGTCATCAAGCACGCCTGCATCCACCAAGTCACTATAGGTGAGCACCATCTCGTACAGCTGGCTTGCTGTGGCCTTCCGGATCTGGGACAAGAACAGCAGGTCAACAAGAGGAAAACCCATCACCACTGGGAAATGAATCTGGCCACAGCCCAGACACTTCTGCCATCACAGACATGCAGCAGAAGGAAGATCAGCAGCCTCTGTCAGAAGGGACTCCTGCCTGGGATCCGTCCCTCTTGCTAGTGTCCTGTGACAAACCGCTTCAGATGGCCTTGTCTACCCTGTAATGTGCCTTTTTGAGGGTGAGCGGTGGGCCATCCCACTCTACCTCAAAAAAAAAAAAAAAAAAACCTACTGTCCTTTGCAGAAATTCCCTGACTACTTAGGGGAGAAATTTCCCTTTTGGGATACTTAGAGAGTTCTTGGGTAGGAGGGGAATCCTAACCCTAGGCTGTTGACACCCCACCCTCAGCAATGCTTCCTTATGCTCACCCTGCCCGGTACCAGCACCCACGTTCCTTTCATACGAACGCCAGCCACTTGACTACCATGACCCAGGGCTGCCCACGCCTGGAAACCATCTCACCCCTGTGTTTACTTCTAAACCTACTTCAAAGTTACACCAACACACACTCGTCTAAAGGCCATACATGAGCACAGACCTTTAGATGGCCTTGAGGTGGGGCGGACACACTCACCACAGGGAAGGGGTGGCCAAGGAGGATGAACAGCTGCAGAAGGACCTTCTGTCGCACATCACCATTGAACTGCACCATCCCACAGAGCCTGCAGAAAGCCCACAGGGGACATGGAGCCGTGCCATACTCAAGTTACCCGAGGACCCAAGACACATCTGAGACCCAACAAGTACACAGCATAAACCTTGAGCCATGTGTTAATGTGTGTGCACCTATATACACACCTGTGTGTTGTGTGCTAGTGCGCTCCCATGTGGTATATGGTCATGTATCCAAGTGTGCACTGTATACTAATGTGTTCCCATGTACTTGCCTATACATAATGAGATCTTTGTGTTAGCATGTGCCTGTGTGTATCTATCAGATTGCCTACACATGAACAGTGTTCTGTGCCAGTGTGTACTTGCCCAGATGCCTGAACTGGCATAGTTGTATTCACATTCCTTGGGCTTATACAGTAAGGTGAGAGGTAGAGCTTTCCTGCAGGTTGACCCTCCAGACTCACAGCAGTCATCTGACTTTTCCCTTCCTCACTGAACACTCCAACAGTCCATATTTTAAACAGCTTTGTGATCAAAATTGTATTTCCCACCAAGTCCCTCCATCTCCACCCAGGAGCACTTAAAACTCACACTGCAATGCTCGCCCGAAGCTTCTGGACATCTTTTGACTTCCTGATTTCTTCCTTACAAAGTGTGAGCAACTTCACACAGAAGGGGTGGCTTGAAGGGGAAAACAGTATTGTAAGTAGGTCTTTACAGGAATACAGAGCAGTATGGTTCATGCTCTACTGGCATCCAGTGTGCTGTTGGTACCAAGTAACCTGAAGGTCGGCTTGCTCAACAGATGCTGTGCCATGTGGCATCAACCACTTTCTTTCATTCCCAACACACACAGCAGAGAACAGCTATCCTATCTCACTACTGGTGAGATATGCCATCACCCACCTTACCCATGGTATTCAACACCTGGGCAGGCAGGCCCAGCACAGCTATGGTATGACCATATCCAAGTGACCCACCCAACAGAAGACCCTACCAGCAGGTACTATTCATGGAAAGAAGCCATAGGAGGGGTCCTAGTCATCCCCAATGACCTTGATACTGGGCTACCACACCAGGCTAGTCCATGACAGTTAATTCCCAGGTCAACCCTGGTATGAAGAGAATGCTGCCGTACCCTGGGACTTTGATCCAGATCTCAGTCCTTCCCTGACTAGCTCTCTAAAATACATCCTCAGTTGGTCTTCCTCTGGGACTCAAGCAATTCTATTGCTCTTCTAGACTTAAAGGTCCCACACGCCACAGACTCTGTGGTCCCAATGGTCCCAATCCAGGTCTACACTGAACGTGGTCATCTCCAGCATTCCTGAAAGACTCCTGAGCTAATCCACCAGGCATGAGCCTCCCGTGGTTGGTGTCTAATGAACGTCTCGGCTCTACCTGTCTGAGTGGGGTGACATGGCTTCCTGGCCACACCTGGTATTCTGAAAGATTTCTGTTGTGGAAAGAGACACACCAGCCATAACGTTTTCCGGCTGCTATGGCTCCCTCACACTCACATCTGTTGGCGTCATGCCCCTGGATCAGCCACAGTCTGGCGCCCTCTCAGGCCTGACCTGATCAATAGTCAGTTACTACTCGCACCTGAACACATTCTCAACATGACACCAGCCTGATGCCCATACAGCACAGACCTTCTGGGGGGGGGGGGGGGGCAGAAAATAGAAAGCAAATAGCAATGAGCAAAGGAGACCAGTCTAGACCCAGTGGATTTGAATCCACCACCAGTTAACTTAAAAGGAAAATTCAAAGCTCCAGGCAGTTTCTAAGGAACTTAGCTTTCATTTGGTGAAGACCACAAGGCAAAAATGAGCACAAAAGTATCATCCACTCAGGAAGGCAGCCTGGCACCTACGTGGTTCCAGGGCTTAGAGACATCATGCAGCTGGACTGTCTGCTCCTCTGGACAAGAGGCAGAGGAACCACAGACAGCAGGAAGCAGCATTCGTGCCCTATGTCCCATAGCCTCTGTCCCGCTATGATGGGCTCAGGCACACTCCTGGGCCCCAAAACACAGCCCACAGACTGTTCTATTTCCATCCAGTCCTTATCACACCTCAGGTTCCGTCAGCTTCCAGACCTCTCTGCCTGCCTGCCCTAGTAAGTGGACTACCCTCACCTGTCCAAGTCTACCTTCCTACCTGGGTAACAGTGAAGCTAGCCTGAGCAACACAGCAAGGTACCAAAACAATAAATACATTTTTTTTTTAAATTTGGGCAACTAGGTTTCACCAGATAGGGAGCATTAAGCAAGCAGATACTTACTTCTCCTCAGCAGTAAAGATGTCGAAGCACCCATTGGACAGCAGCTGGTCCAGCATTTTCAGCAGTGATACAGACACCCTGAGAGGACAAGATAAGCAAACATGAGACTCACACAAGCACCCAAGAACTATGAGCCACCCATGCGAGGGACAGGCAAATGCCACTGACAAGTTAAAAAAACAAAGCAAAACACAAACCCTGAACACCATGACGGCTCTTCCTAGATGAGTCTAGAGTCAAGACAGCCTTGCCACATTCTTAAGGACAGACACACCAGCATTATAATTCTTACAGAAAGCCAGGATGACTATGGGAAGTAAGAATAAAGCAGGAGCCAACGTGGCTCCTTTCAGGGCTTACCTAAAGCAAAGGTAAGAACAGAGCTGCTGACGTAAAGATGTACAGACGGCCAGGTAAAGTCCAGCATCACCTGTACACCTGATGGTTTTGACAAGGCGCAAAGCCAGGACAGTGAGCAGTCCAGCAGGCTGTGCTGGACAGCTAGACAACTGGACAGTCATTTGCAAAATTAAACAAAGCACTCACAAAACTATCTCAAAACAAACCATAGGGCTAAAGACAGAACCTAAAGCTGACGCTTCTGGACGAGAGGAGCTCTCTAGGACCTCCAGATTAGGCAAAGATTTCTCAGCAACAACACTAGCTCACTGAAGCACAGGCAGGTGAGAGGTGGCTCCTTCAAACCACAGACCTAACAAGGACTTGCCTGGTCCAGTGAAGGCATCAAAACCAGGGAGGAGGAAAACCCAACTAAACAGCTGTGGTGTCAGGAAACGCACACCTCAGACTCTAAGAGGGCGGCTGAGTGTCTAACAGAATAGCCACCCGAGAGGCTGACCACACCATTGCTGGTGAGACATGGAACAGACGGGACCAGCAGTTTCAGAGAAGTTAACAACTGACATGGCCCCACAGTCCATCATACAGTGTGTACCCAAGAAAAGGGGGTGTGCATCCACAGAGATCCATTCCTGCATGTCCACTGCAGCTGTCTGCAAGGCCTGGAACATGAAATGCCCAAAAAGTGAGTCAGCTCAACAAGAGGACGGACAGACAGATGGGGTGATGACACTGCCTGCCTGTTTAAATGGAATGACACAAAAGGCCACCTCGACTTCAGTGATAGCAGATCAGTGGTTGCCAGAGTGGACGGCTGGGAGAGCTCTGGGGCAGGAGGAACAAGAAAGGTTTCGCACACCCACAGGAACCACCCCACATACTTCATGGGTTGCCTTTCCGGTTTCTTATATTCTCGATGAGGTTATTACAGACAAGAAAAGTCAGGGAATATTCCTACAGACTAGAACCTCATCCCACTTCACATGCTATCTGGCATCTGCACACGCACACAGAAAAGCTCATTTTCCTCCCTTGAGGGAGAGGGATTGTAGGAGGTGAGTGCCAAGAACCGGTGAGGCCCAGAGATGAATGCTGGGGTTCACTGAAGTTACTGAAGGGAGCCAGCAGGGCCTGACAGTGTGCTGGGCCCTGCTCCTCACCTACTAACTGTGACCATGTGTCCCAGGGAAACCTGGGCTCTGTGGAAATAGGATTGGGGCACAGGCACCATGACCTCCCAGCCTCAAGATACCCCTCACCTGTCATTCAAGAGGTTGTCCTCAAAGACCTTCAGGAGGGTCCCACTGAAGCTCTCCAGGAGTTGAGCATCCTTCTGAATCCTCTTCATGTACTCAAAGAGGCTCTGTGTAGAATACCTGACCTAAAACCCGAAACGTAGTACTGAGGCACAGCATGGCTAGTTTTTCCCTTGGTCCCCCAAGGCTACGTCAATGACAGTAAATGCTTAGGACCGAACAGAAACAACTGCAAACTACAAAGACATGAGGGCCTTCCAGGTGCTGGGCTGTTATGACTGAGCATGTGCAGTGCACACATCTAAGGACAGAACCCTCTGGAAGGAGTCCCCTGGATCCCCTTGTCCTGCACAGCCCGATACCTCCTTACCGTAGAAGCCGTCAAACCACCAACAGACACGGCCAGCCCCAGCAGGACATGGTATCTGTAGGTGGGCAGTTCCAAGAGCTGGGTGATGAGAGGGAAGGCCTGGGAAGGTGCATTCCAGTTCACAGAGGCCACGTCAGACCTGAAAGAAAGCGATTTCCTCAAGGCCACGCTTGGAGGGGCTGGGCTGCAAAGGGGATCCGTACCTGACAGTACCTGGGGAACAGGCTTTCCAGTTCTCTGCGGTGGGGAACATGGGGAATGGGAGGGCTGTCGAAGTGCAATAGAGTCAGGAACACCTGGGCGGCATGGGCACGGAACCGATCAATCTTCTCGCTTGCCTGCTGGGCAACGCAACACATGACGCGCTCACAGCTGCAAACAGGACACGTGTCTTAGTTAGGGTTTTTATTGCTGTGATAAAACACCATGACCAAAAGCAATTTGGGTAGAAAAGGGTTTATTTCCACTTGTAATTCTCAGGTTATACTCCATCACTACAGGAAGTCAGGACAAGAACTCAAGGCTGGTGGCAGAACAAAGGCAGAAGTCATGGAGGAATGCTGCTTACTGGCTTGCATGCCTTGTTCAGCCTTTCTTATACAACTCAGGTCAACAACAACAACAAAACAGAAAATAACAACAACAAAAAGCCAGAACAGTAGAACTCCAGGCCTCAGCAGTGTGGCAGAAGAGGTTGAGAATCACCGGGGCTGGATCAAATGATGGTGGCCCCTCCTGGCCGGAATCTCGGCTACAGAACCGGAGTTCAGGGACCACCACAGTCTCACTCTCTGAAGCTGGCCAGATGAAAGGAAGTCCTGGTACAGGGGTAGGGGGGTGGGTATCCTGTCCTGGGGACATGGAACAGGAGGAGGCCCCTGGCCGTGGCCCACAAACTGTGGAGGGGCAGACAGAGGTCAGAGAAGCTACGCTGAGAAGGGATAAAGACACAGGGCAGCCCCTGCGGTCCTCGGATACTCACATGTGGGCCTCAATCAGCTGCGGCTCTGTCCGTACCAGCAGAAGTATCAAGTCCATGAGGCTCGTCATGGCAGCTTCCCGGACCCTGTGAATAAGGAGATAGAGGAAGGTCAATCCAGGACAGGGATTCAAGCCCTGGTCCCATCAAACACATCCATCAGGTCCTGTGAGAACAGTCTACAAGGAGCCCATGAGGGGGAAAAAGTCTTGAGACACCCAGTGACCACACACAAGCTTGGTTCCAGAAGGCCCAAACACAGGGAAAGTTTCAGAGATTACAGAAATCCCTTCAGTGTAAACCATCAGAGAAACCCAATGCCGGCAGCTGGCAGTCTTTATTTAAATCCCTTGACTGGAGAATGAGGGACGTGCTCTCGCTCATACTGTCAAGCAAGAGGGCTCATTCTTAGCATCTGAAGACAGACTGGACAAGTCTCAGCAGGGCCTAAGACATGTGCACACATCATCGAAGCAGCTACTTCCCACAGCCTCCTCTTCTGTGAAGCTGGCCGCTGTAGTCTCTCTGCACAAGGCTGGCGCTTCTTGTTCTCACCAGAGAGCAACCAACATTCATACCCATTCTAGACTTTCCTTCTTGCTAAACAGAGCTGTCTGTCATTAATTCATATCGAAGAAAAAAAATTGATCTAATTCCAGAGCAAAAGTAGCCATTTAAACTGGGATACAGGTGCATTCAGTGAGTCAGGAAAGGAAGAAATAAACCCTCAGGCTTAGGGTCATCTCTGCCTCAATCAAACCCTCTATGGGGCTTGTACCAGGTTCCCTCTGAGGCCCATGGGACCTTCTGAGGGGAGCTCGCAGACAGCAGTGCAGGCCAGGGTTCCAGGGGACTCCTCAAAGTCAGGTGAGGGTCAATGGACACAAAGTTAGCCTGGGGATGCAGTGAGCTACAGGGACAAGGGATGCCACGGGACGTAGGGAAGGAGATCTGCAGAGCATGCTGGGATGAAATGGGGTACATCTGCAAAGAATGCCAGGGAATGGGGGAGACCTGCAGAAAGTACCATGGGACACAGGGGCATGACTGTAAAGTATGCCAGGGGACACGGGGAAGTCTGGAAAGTGCCTAGGTCTAGGTGCACAGTTAGAAAGCACACACAGACCTTTCATGGTGCCTGCCATCTCTGAAGCTGTGATGCACAGGGTGAGGCTCCAAACAATACAGCAGAAACCAGCAAAAGGACAAGCTGTGCTTGCCAAGCACATGAACGGGAAAGAACTGAGTCCTGAGCCTCAGAGGACCACTGGCAGAGCCCTGGGGCAAGGGAAAAAAAAATCACATCCCAGATAAGCTCCTGGGAGCAAGGGCAACTGCATAAAGCCATTGTCATGGAGCCCAGTCTATACGGCCAGGTCTGTCCAGACTTGGCCACCTCTCTCTGTGAAGCCCTTCCTTCCACTCTGTGACCTGAAAACATAGTGGACAGCTGGCCATTATCACTACCGCTAAAAGAAAACTATATAGCCCTGCAATTTAATCCACAACATAGAAAATCCAGTTAAGAATTTCAAGTGAATAAAACCTAACAAATGCCAAAATAACAGGAGCAACAAAAAGAGACTGACCAAGTGTACAGTCTTTACAATAACTGTATCTGAAAAATATGAAAATAGAGAAAAGTAAATGAAAAAGACAGAATTTCAAAAACAATTAGAACCTCTGAGAAAGTTCTCAAGGTGTATGTGTCACTATGTGCCCGTAGGGTTCCCTCCTACGGAAGTTTGAGTCGAGCCTCCCAGTACCATGAAAGCTGGTCCTCAGGGAGGAGGCCTCTGAGCCCCATGTCTGAAACGCACGATGTCTTTAGCAATAGGGACTTACCTTCTACCTCTGGGAGACAACCAAGGGCACTAACTAGTAACAGCCTGCAATGTTTTAGGACTCCCTTGGACAATCCTAACCAACCCAAAAGAGGGCTTCTCATGAGTTGTTAGGGTTTTTATTAGATGGTCTTTGGCTCTCTAAGAGGGAGCACGGTCAGCCCAGATGGGAAAACTTTATTTAAAATACACACATGTGTTTATACACCAGCTTACATGTACTATAAGTGTTTTTGTATAATTCCATATGACTTCTTCAGACTCCTCATTATTATTTTACCCTCCTCCTTCTGTGTGGGAAACTAACTGTTCTCTAAGTTGACCTAAGACCTGTTCAGTAAGAGGGAAATCATACCTTATACTAGAAGCCCAGTCAACCCTCTAGGATTTGTGAAGTCATGGCTCTTGGAGGAGAACCCACAACCGCCACCACAATACTGACCCAGCATAATCCCTAACTTCAGTCTAAGCATTTGTCCCTGTACCCACAGAGAAGTGTAGTCCCCACCCTCATCAGGGAAACTTCTCTTTGCAATGGTCAGAGACCTTCAGAGAAAGCCACAACCAATCAAAAGGCAGAGCTGTGGAGCCCCAGCCCCAACTCACACATCCGCAATATAAGCAGCTAAGCCGCAGGGATCACTGTAGAAGAGGAGGCAGAAAGACTGTCACCAACATTACTGCCTAAAGCTGAGCTGAACAAAGACAACAGACATGGTAACGTGGTGTGGGAAGTCCTTCTGTATAGGTGGTGCTTTTATTGGTTAATAAAGAAGCTTCTTTTGGCCAATGGCTTAACAGAATATAGCCAGGCTGGAAGAGATATAGAGAGAGAGTAGGCAGAGTCAGGGGGAAGCCATGCAGCCCCCCCATAGGAGACAGATGCCTCCGCTGGAGCCTGCCAAAACTTTGCTGGTAGGTCACAACCTCGTGGTGATGCATAGATTAATGGAGATGGGTTAGCTGAGGATATATGAGCTAGCTAGCAATATGCTTAAACTGTTGGCCAAACAGTGTTGCAAATATTATAGTTTCTGAGTGATTATTTCGGGTCTAAGCAGCCGGGAACAAATGAGCCATCTCTGACAACAAACACAGATTGAGGTGGGCAAAGCCTCAACTCTACATGAACTACTAAGGAATTTGGAGAGTGGGAGAAATACACACACACACACACACACACACACACACGGTGCATAACAACAACCAATGAAAAAAGGAAGCCATGAATTTGAAAGAGCAAAGAGCGGGGTATATGGGAGTTTTAAGAGAGGAAGGAAAGGGGAGAAATGATGTACTAAAAGAAAAATATTTAAAAAGAATGTCTGGTTCCATCAGTTGCTGGATGAAGGTTCTATGGTGATATTTACAATATTCATCAGTCTGACTACAGGGCAAGTCAAGATCAGGCCCCCTCTCCTCTACTGCTTAGGGTCTTAGCTAGAGTCATCCTTGTGGATTCCTGGGAATTTCTCTAGAGCCAGGTTTCTTGCTAACCCTATAAAGGCTCCCTCAATCAAGATATCTCTTTCCTTGTTCTCATCTCTGTCCTTCCTCCTTCTCGACTATCTCATTCCTGAAGTTCTCCTCACCCCTCCTCTTCTCCCCCCATCCCCATGCTCCCAATTTTGTCAGGCAGTCTTGTCTGATGGGAACAGAGGCAGAGACCCATATTAGAGCACTGGACTGAGCAACCAAAGTCCAGTTGAAGAGTGGGAGGAGTGAGAACACGAGCAAAGACATCAAGACGATGATGGGTTCACCCACTGAAACAGTCTACCTGAGCTAATGGGAGCTCACCAACTCCAGCCAGACTGGGAAGGAACAAGCATAGGACCAAACTAGTCCCTCTGATTGTGGTTGACAGTTGCATGGCTGGGGCAGACTGAGGGGCCACTGGCAGTAGCACCAGGATTTATCCCTACTGCATGTACTGGCTTTTTGGGAACCTATTCTCTTTGGATGTATACCCTGCTCAGCCTAGATAGAGTCAGTTATAAAAGCAGTAACAACTGCTGGGGAGAGGAAACTCTTCAGCTGGAGAGATGCGTACAAGTAGGGCAGAGGTCTCCAGAGACTTCTGTGAGCTGTCTCCCCTGCTAGGGAGTGCCTTTGAGTCACCCGTGTGTAAGTAACTCCTACTTCAGAAGACCGACTGGCTCACCACGCTAGACTTGGGTGGGATTGTTCTTCGGCCTGCATTCAGTGCCTTACACTGGGTAAATAGATGATTGTTCACACCTTCCATGGAAAAGACACACAGTGCTCACCATTCTTCTGTCTTGAACTTCAAGAAGGAATCCAGGTGAACTAGGTCTTTTGGGAGTCTAGGAGCCTCAGAGAAGAAGCCTAGGACCTGACAATATTTATCGTAGAACCAAGTCATCAGCTCCATGTGGGCTAGGTTCACAATGCCACCTTAGGCCCTGTCTGCTACCTAGCCTGTAGTACATTCTGGAAGGGTCTGGACAACAAAACATGTCCAAGGCGCTCCAGCCCACATGACATGCCACAACCAAGACGACAGATCCTTCTCAAGGAGAAAGACAACCAGGAGCAAGAAATCTCCGGCAAAGCAAGATGGCCATTGTCAATGAGGAACCCTTGAGGTCAGACCAAAGGAGCCATTTCTCATGGACATCTTGCCAAGAGACACTACAGGGAAGCAGCCTTGTAGCTGAAAAGCCACACTCAGCTGTGCCAGGGAAGACCTTGGCATTGTGGGAAACGGCCAGGGGGTCCCTCAAAGTCTCCATTCTCCAGGCTCTCATGAGACTGATGTCAGCACAGGAAAACCTGTCTATGTAGACATCTATATCTACATGGATATGTTCAGACAGCTCAGTCCATGACAGCAAAGATCCAGTGCAAACACAAATTAATGATCAATGTAACATGAAATTAAAAATATTAAATGAGCTTAATAGTAGAGAAATAAAAGGAGAATCACTAGCAAAGCAGACTATATAGCATTTATACAGCTAAAGAAGAGCAGCAACAACAGAAAGTTGTACAAAACGAAGAAACCTTCAGGATCTGTTTGGTATGTGACGGGTGCTCGAGTTTCTGGAATACGAGGACATGGGGGATCTCCAAAATGATCTGTAAAGTGGGGTAACCAGCTACGAAATAGGATGTAAGAAGAAACAACTAGCTGGGCACCCAGAATGAAAGGAGGGGAAAATGAAGAGGCAAGAAGAACAAGTTAGAAAGTAATATCTGAAACATCCTATGTAAAGGATAACATGTTCTCTCCATGTTCTGATCCCAATCAAGACAGCATCTTTTACGAGCTCCTTCTGAACTCTTTACCATCATTGCCTAAGGCCAGCAGGAGGTATGAGGGGGTATGAGTGGGTACGAGGGGGTGTGAGGGACTGTGAGGGGGTACGAGGGGGTGTGAGGCACCCGGTAGAGCTGCTGACTCAGACAGCAGCAGCCTTGTTCTCTCCCTCGCAAGGTGCTGCAACCTGGGCAGGAAACTTGCCCTACAGGAGGAGAAAGGGAAGATGAACATGCAGACTAAAGAACTATGGATGTCTGAGCAGCAGAAGAGGGCTCGCCTGAGACGTCAGTGCAGACCGTTGCTATGAGCGTTTCTAGCATGACTTAATGCCTATTGTTTCAATCCTGCGTACCTCAGGATGCCATGCCCTCCCCTATCTCAGAAGAGAAGTCAGTGTACAAACACTGTCCTTACCAGGCTCCCACATCCCCTCTGCTGTCTGTGGTATAATCGTTCATGCAGTCCAGCAACGCAGTGTAAACCTCGGAAATGTTCTCTCTGCACACGACTTCATCTGGAGGGCCCTCTGCTTTCACGCCAACCGTCTGGCAAACTCTGAAATTAAGATATGCATGTCTGTGAGCTCATCCTTCACATTACAATGGCCTGGGGTGTCTTGCTGCAGGGAACACCTGGCATGGCACAGGAGCCCCAGGCAGACTTCAGGGCCCAGGGCACCCTTCCCACTGCAGATACGGACTGGTGCTCACTGTGAAGTCACCTTCACTGCCCCACAATCTACAAGGTAGCTGGCTCTTTCTCTCTTCCACCCCAATAAAAAGGATAATGCTGCTTTGAGAAGTCAAGACTGAATGGGCTTGCAGAACCACAGGGAGCCAGAGAAGGCAGACAAGGCCCTCACACTGCATCTACAGACAGAAGTCACTAAGACACAGGGTTCAGGCATTGCTCCCTTTGTCAGCCTCAAGCTGAGGCACAATCCCCAACTCTTCATCCATTTTGTTTGTTAATTTAGCAGTATTGGGCATAGAACCCATGGCCTTGTACATGCTAAACAAGCACTCTAACCCTTGGCTATTCCCAAAGCCAGCACAATGCTTTGGTTTGTGTGTGTGTGGTTTAAGGCTTCAATGTTACCATGGCTGGCCTCAAACTGCTGTTCCTCAGCTTCTGAGGTGGCTTTCAAATGAAGATACAAATGTTCCCTGACAATGCTCTAGAGGGGGAGAATTAGAAAGCAATAACAAAGCAGCTCTATACATTTCTGCTCTCTGCTAGCTAGCATGGCAGGTAATCCTTGTGGTGCCTGTTGGTGCCCACCTGCCAGGCCAGGGCTCACCTTGAGATTGCCTTCAAACCGTCTCTCCTGGCCTCAGCAAAGCTCACATCCTTGGGAGAAGTACGGGTGACTGTTCTTAGACCTGTGAGAACCTGAGGGCAAAAAAGTCCCCCAAATCAGTAAATAAGTATCAGCTACAAAGTAAACATGTTTTTTAGAGACAGTCTCCATAAGCTTGCAAACCCTCCTGTCTCACTATCCTAAGTGCTGTGTGCACCACCAGACGTGGCTGTCAGCACACTTCTGTTTCGGACAGAGATGTGGCTCTGGAGCCACGGACACAGCAGCCATGGGTGGGGCTTGCCAGGAAGTTCACGATTCAGTTTCTGGAAGAAAGTTTGAAAAGAGATCCCATAGCCTCCCATCTGCTGCACCCGAACTCCAGCACCTGCTATGAATCTGCCTCATCCCTACAGGAGATTCCTCTCTATTGTTCCCATCTTGGACAGGGGATAGCTGACATTCTAGATCTCAACAATAAATGAGCAATTATAGTTTTATGTTTTCTCCTACCCACTGCCCTCGACCAGCGAACATGCGCACATGTGTGTGTACACAATCATACATGCTACAGCCTGTGTGTGGAAATTAGAGGGCAACTTGGTGGAGCTGGTTCTCTCTACCTTTATGCAGGTCCTAGGGATCAAACTTGGGTCACCAGGCTTGCCGGAAAGTGATTTTATTCACTGAGCCACCTTGTAGGCCCAGGGCTATTACTTCGTAAACTGATAGCTCAGTTCTAAAATCTTTGTTTATCCACATTTCAAGTGAATAAACCCCAGGGTGAGTTCAGTTATTACAACAGCTATACTCGGCTTTGTACAGGGTTCAAGGGCCTACTTGTCACATCATCAGAACTGCCTGATCCCACAGGAGGAAAGAGAACCAGTATACATAGAAGCAAACATGGAGTGTGTGTCTTACTGCATCCCAGCTTGTGTGGCAGGCAGCAGGGGCAGACAGAGTAAGAGCACCTGGGGGAGGAGGTGTTGGTAGGACCAAGCCTAGTGTTTCAACTCAGAGGGGAAAAGTGCATGGTCTCCAGAGTCAGGCTGGAGGCACGCCCAGGTCTTAGACAAGGACAGGTGATAGAGGAGATGCTGAGAAGGAAAGACAATGGGGAGAGAGCAGGCCACACCAAAGCAGAGGAAGCAGTGGGAGAAAAATAATAGTACATGATATATTCTTCTATGGCACAGGCAGAAAAGAAGCCCATAGGACACCAGGCTGAGACAAGAGGCTGGCAGCCTCCAACCATACCCAGCCTACCTCCCACCATGACTACCAACAAGGTGGGACACAAGGCACATAAGGAACATAAAATTTCATAAGAAATTTTAACTACATGGCTTTATTATTAGGGAAATAAATTGAGATGGTTACAAGAATAGAAGACACATGCCAGCACCAGCTTCTGCATAGAGGCTACCATTTTCTCATCAGGAAGCCAGTTTCTTCAGACAGAGCCTCCTACCCTACAAACCTGAGCACAGCTCTCTATGCCTTGCAGGAGCAGTCAGCCGCCATTGCTTTCATGGCCACGTGTGCTAATACTGAGAATTCCCGCATCAAATTCCCAAGCAGAGGTGTGCGGATTACTTGCCAGCCCTTCCCATCTGTGCCCCCTCGGTGCTGTTGGGACCCTCACCTGCTGCAGATGACCCCTGAGAAGGAAACCTGGAAGGGCACCCAAGGCTGAGGAGAAGCCACAGCGGGTCATCTCCTCTGGGCTCTGGAGCTCAGCAAGGTACTGTGGAATCAGTTCCCCTAAAAAGAAAGAAATATTTAGAAGTGGCCTGTGTCTAGTGGTGCCCCTCAGAAATACAAGTTAGATGTGTAAGGTGAACCAGGACAATGATGCAGACATACCTTCAAAGTGATAGATAAGCTATAAGAAAATTTGTATAAGGTGGTTTTAAGGTTTCCTTAAGATTTTTGTTGTTGTTATTGTTGTTTTTTAAGACAAGGTTTCTCTGTGAAATAGTCCTGGCTATCCTGGAACACACTCTGTAGAATGGCTGGCCTAGAACGCACAGAAATCTGCCTGCCTCTGTTTCCCGAGTGCTGGGATTAAAGGTATGCACCACTACCACTAGGTTCCTAAGATATTTTTCCTTTATGTCTGTGTTTTGTTTGTTTGTTTGAGACAAAGTCTCTCTATTTAAACCAGGCTGGTCTTGAACTCACAGTGCTCTCCTCATCTGGCATTAGGGAAATGTACTACTGCTAAACCTGGCTTTCATAAGGAATTTTAACTACCTGTCTACACTATGATCCCTGCTATAGGCCCAGCATACAGCACACTTACTCTCAATGGTAACAACTGCCTCCCCAGCCTCCTTCATGTAGTATTCGTTGCAGAGGGCGGCCAGGGCCGAGACAGCTGCCTCCTAAAACAGAAGACATGAGTGAAAAAAGGGTCTAAGAAGTCCTCAGCCACAGATGCGTGGGCCACTGCAATCTGACAGTGATTATGTTTAAAAACAAATTAAAGTATGTCATTGCCACAGTTTCTCTAATAAATCTTCTGACTCTCCAGTGTGTCTACCAAACCTGTCAGATGTATCAATCACCTTAAATTCTATGCACTAGTAACCCTAACGTGAGAACTCTATTTCTTCCAAACAGTACAATTCTTATGTATTCCTATATGGCACAGTTAATGTAAGACAAAACATGCTTCTCTTCCCAGCAGCAGCAATGTGGGGATTGAGTGTCTGTTTACAAGGACAAGGGGCTCAAGGCGGCCCTGGTAGAACCTGGTGTTATATAGTAATAAGGGCGGCGGGGCTGCGTCCCCAGCACCCCAGCCGCCTGGCTAGCTTATGCCCGAAATAACAACACACAAACTGTATTCATTTAAACACTGCTTGGCCCATTCTCTTCTAGGCTAATTTTTACATATTAATTTAGCCCATTTTTAATCATCTGTGTATGGCACCCCAAGGTGTGCTTACCAGGAAGATTCTAGCCTATGTCCATCCTGGGTCGGAGCTTCATCCCGGGAGCAGGGCATGGCGTCTCTCTCAGGCATCTTCTCCCGAGAGGAGAGCTGTCGAGACTGACCTCACTTCCTCTTCCTCCCAGCATTTTGTTCTGTTTACTCCACCCACAGGGCCAAGCAGTTTCTTTATTGTTTAACCAATAAAATCAACAGATTGATATGACACTCCCACATCATGGTGTAGGGAACAGGAGGGTCCACTGGCATTCCGCACAGAAGTGTATGCAGAACAGAAAGGGTGAGGAACCAATCTTAGCCCCAGTAACCCTGATGGAGACGGGATGATGCAGGGTCACACAAATCAGAAGGTGGCGATGTGGCATCTCCCTAACTCCCCACCTCCCCTCTGCAAGAGATGACTCGACCTCAAATCAAACCTTCCATTCCACCCCTCCCCAACTGAGGAGGGGCAGGGAGAAGATCAGCATGGAGTCCCTCAGAACATCACAGAGTTGAGACACACACTAATTAAGCAACAAAAAATATGATCACGGCCAGTGGGACTCGATTATGGACAGTTTTCAAAGAAAATTCTGAGATATCAACCATGAGACCTCCAAATTTAACCAGGCAGACTGTATTTAACCAGGAAGAATTCCACAGAAACAAAAGAGAAGGAAGTGCAGGACAGGCAGGGGCTCATGCTTCCGCACCTTGTCTGGCACGTCAAACATCAACCATTACAGCCCACGGCCTACGAAATGGGCTGTATGTCACAGCTCCAATCCCGAAAGATGAACATAAGCGAGCATCTAGTTGCTCAATCTCGTCTTCATGTGAATACTTTCCCAACCTGACCTACGGCTACCAGAACTCAGGTGTGACTGGGCACGTTATCACTATCAAAATAGAGAAGAAGATTGGTAGAAATAAAAAGTGTAGTGAGGAAGGGTAAAATTCCTGGTTACCATGGTCACTCTAGGCTGCCTGTGTGAACCACGCAGACCCGAAGATGGTGCTGCAGACTGTGAGGTTAGCGCATGAAAGGAGCGCTACGGACAACAGGGGAGAGAAACCCGCGTGGCATACCTTGATCTGCTGTCGGGAATGGCTGGAAACAAGGTGAAGACTTCTAAGAGTGTCATCTATCAGCCACTGCCAACCATCTGGTGAGAAAGCAAAGACAACGGCTAACCTGCCTCAGAGTACTCAGCCGACACTCACAACAACAGACACGCATCCTGGAGAAACTCCAAAGTGAACATTCCCAGACCGCGTAAAAGTCCAAGGGCCCCAGTTCCAGGAGGAAGCCCACCTCAGGCTGCTAAAAGTTAGCTCCCCCACACCCTGCTGCTGCCACCACTGTGTAGAAAATGCCATTCCCTGTAAACCAAAGACTTGCACATCACGATAGAGAACTCCTCTTTTGTAACAGCTGCAAGCTTTAAGACATTTTTTAAAGATTTATTTATATATTCATTTATTATGAATACTGTGTTCTGTCTGCATGTGTGCCTGCAGGCCAGAAGACGGCACCAGATCTCATTACAGATGGTTGTGAGCCACCATGTGGTTGCTGGGATTGAACTCAGGACCTCTGGAAGAACAGTCAGTGCTCTGAACTACTGAGCCATCTCTCCAGCCCAAGTGATCTTATCTTATCTCTTTCTCTTAGACAATCTTTCCTGGTCCTGTACAACTTAAACCTAACTTCAACTCAACTATATCTAATAAATGGACTGGAGATATGCTTGCTCTCTGTTCAGCTAAATAAAATTAGTAACTTTAGATGAGGCTAGAGCAGACTTGAGGGAGACTGCCCTCTGTCTCAGCAATGAGAACCATCTGGGCAATAAATAAGTACCAGGCAAGGAATGACCACAAATTTCCAGGACTGGAGACCATGGTGGCAGGCAGAGCCACAGCTAAGAGCACCAGTAGAGGATTCCAGAAGAACTTCCCACTTCCCTGTCCTTTCTAGAAGAGGATGGCAGGAGGTGGCAGCAATTCCAAGACAAGATGTACCAATACTGCGGCCCTTTAAACTTCACCCCACCCCAATGAGTTCATCTCTTATTCTGTAACCCAAATAACAGTATTAAGAAAATGTTATCTGTGTCACTGAGGAAAGCACCTACCGATAACGGTGTCGCCTTTAAAGGGCATTCTGGAAAGTGACAAATTCTTTATTAAAATGCACACTGTGGAAAAAGAAAAAAAAATTATTTTCCAAAAGTGTATAATCAACACCTAACTCTTCCACCCACCTTCATGCTGGCCAGGCCATAAGCAAATCCAGGCTATCTCCCCAGATGGACACGAGGAAGAAGATACTCCAGACCTAGCGTGATGACCCCTCTTAAAAAGACCTGTGGGAGCCAGCATGGTGCATTTAATTCTAGCATTCAGGGAGAGAGAGGCAAGTGGGTCTCTGTGAGTTCGAGGCCAACCTGGTCTACAAAGTTAGTTTGAGGAAAGCCAGAGCTATTACACAGAGAAACCCTGTCTTAAAAAACCAAAAAGGAGGAAGAAAAAGAAGGAAAAGGAGGAAGGAGGAAGAAGGAAGGAGGAGGAGGAGGAAGGAGGAGGAGGAAGAAAAAGGAAGAAGAAGAGGAAGAAGGAAGAGGAGGAGGAGGAGGAAGAAGGAAGGAAGGAGGAAGAGGAAGAAAGAGAGAGGGGGAGCGGGAAGGAAGGAAGGAAGGAAGGAAGAAAAGAGAGAGAGAGAGAGAGCAGGCTGTGGGGGACAGTCCAGAAGACATCTATCTCCCCAAGTATAGTCAGAGTCCACTTGGACTTGCAGAGCAGTTCAAGGGTCAAACAGACAGTTTTGACCGGTCTCAACTAGGGCTACACCAGCACACCAAAACCTGCTTCCCCCGCCCTGCCCCCACACACACCAGACTAGGATATCAGCTGCCAATGTGGCCAGTTCTGGCCAGGATATCTGGAGATACCCCCCTAGACAAGCCAGGAAGAACCTGGGTTTTCTATTACATTCAACTAACTGGGAATATTCATCTGATTATGCTGTGAGATCCCTGTGCACACTAACACAGGATCTGATTAACCATTCTGCAATGGTATAATGCTTTTGTACAATGTAAAGATCTGTCACTTGTATTGGTTTAATAAAACACTGATTGGCCAGTAGTCAGGCAGGAACTATGGGCGGGGCAACCAGTCTAGGAGAATTCTGGGAGAGGAGAGGCTCAGTCTGCAGCTGACACTCAGAGGCAGAGAAAGCAAGATAAGAAGGTACCAAGACACAGGGCTAAACATAGATAAGAATTATGGGTTAATTTAACTTGTAAGAGCTCATTAACAATAAGCCTGAGCTAACAGGCCAAACAGTTTATATATTAATATAAGTCTCTGTGTGTTTCTTTGGGACTGAACGACTGCAAGATCAGGTGGGACAGAAACTTCTGCTTACACCATCCCTTACTCCACAGAACTTAGTATAAAGAGAACATCTGCAGCTGAAATACCCCCAGATCCACCACAGCTACCAGACCTGTGGTATGCAAAACAAATCAGAGCCCCAGAGCTGGGAAATGGAATAACTGGACACAGCAGAGCATGTGCACAGACCACATTCCCATCTTCCTGGGACAACAGCTAGGATCTCCAACAGAAAGAACTGCTACCACTTGGTATTTGGGGGCCTGGCCTGACCTCAGAGTACTCTTCCCCCATACTGGAATGAAGGACAGCAGTTTCTGGCCCCAGACATACCTGCTTGTCTCATAAGCTCTCCTCCCAGACCCCTAAAAAACAAAAGGAACAAACAGTTAAAATCTTTTATACATAAAACATGCAACACCCCTCCAACTGTAACAGTTTCAGTTAGGGACATAGTCTGCCCAAAGTGTGGGCTACATTTCTGGCAAGAAACAAAAATCTGTGGCAAGATCATCCTCTGGCAGACGATCGTCCTTTGAGCTGTCAAAGGAATCTTGGTCACACAGAACCAATCTCAAACGCTGCTTAACCACACTTCACAACAATGCCAGGGTGACCACTGTGCGGTCCAAAGCAGTGGGACACTAATGTTCATCATCACCCAGCCTGCCTTCCAGAAGCCACCCAACCTGGAATGCTAGCAAGCAGGAGCTGGGAAAACAGTACTGGCTTTGGAGGCTCCGGCTTCTGGCCCCAACAGTAACAAGATCTGCCTTAAAATTAGGAAGCCAGCTGGTGCAGGCCTTTAATACCAGCTCTTGGGAGGTAAAGACAGGTGGGATTGCTGTGACTTTGAGGCCAGCCTGATCTACGAAGAGTGAGTTCCAAGACAGCTGGTGCTGTTACACAGAAAACCCTGTCTTGAGAAAAATAAAAAACAAAGCAAACAATTAGGAAGCCAGAGAATACATGTGCTACACAGCAGACTTCTAACACCGCAGGCACCACCACGTAAGTCACATGGGCAGGTGTGGGTGAAGCCCTAATGAAACCCCTGGATGTCCTGTGATGACAGGCTCAAAAGAGACAGAGATGCTTAGCGGGTGAGGCCATGAAGGTCAGAGCCTGCAGCACAGACACAGAGAGTGGCACGGAGCTCTATGTGCCAGGAAGAAAGAAAACACACAGAAGAAGAGGGCAAGATGCTTCTCAGCTACCCAGGCTGAGCACAATCGTCATCAGCTGGGAAGGAAAGGCCATAGCAGGGTCCTCATAGCGACTGTAAATCAGCAGCAGGTTAGCACCGTTCTAAACAACCCAAGCTATGATGCTGTCTTGAAAGTGTTTAAACAAAACCAGAAAAAGTGTGTGCGTGTGTGTGTATGTGTGTGTATGTATATGTATGTGTGTGTATATGTATGTGTGTGTGTCTGTGTGTATGTATATGTATGTGTGTGCGAGCGTGTGTGTGTGTATATGTGTGTGTGTGTATGTGTGTGTGTGTGCGTGTACGTGCAGGCACACGTGCATGTATTCCAAATCCAGAAATGTAAATTTTGGGAAAGATGGAAATTTAATGAAGAACTACCAGGAAAACAGGACCACAACTAAAGAAATCAACAACCCAGAAATGTTCAAGCTGATAAAGTTCACACGAGGTCACTAATGCAGCTATCATATCCCTCGTGTTGTCTAAAAGGACGGAAGGAAATGTAAGCAGAGAGAGGACACAGAGTGATGTGGGATCCCCTATGTATGTTGTGATACCATTGGTTAATAAGGAAACTGGCTTGACCTGATAGGGGAGAACAGAGCTGGGGGGGGGGGGACTAAACTGAATGCTGAGAGAAAGAAGGGCGGAGTCAGAAGCCATGTAGCCCCACCGGAGACAGAACTTTATCTGGTAAGCCACTGCCAAGTGGCCATACACAGATTAATAGAAATGGCTTAAATTAAGATGTAAGATCTAGCTGATAAGAAGTTCGAGTTAATAGGCCAGGCAGTGATTTAAATAATATAGTTTCTGTGTGATTATTTTGGGGCTGAGCAGCCAGGAATGAAACAAGCGGCCTCCTCCAACAACAACAGAGAACATGAACACTTTAAGAATTTGGATATGTAAAAGAAAAACTGTGCCAAATGTAGTTAACAAAAGATTAAAAAGAGCAGAAGAAAAAATTTAACCTAAAACAACAGGAAGCAGGTCTGTGGTACCAGGAGTTAGGGGAGGTATCTACCTCAGGGTGGTAGTTACAGGGTATGACTCTGTAAAAGCATCCCAAACCTTACAAGATTAAAATTGATGAGCTTTATCATAAAGTTTAATTAATCTACAGGATAAACAGGATAGGAAACCCCTATATCTGTCTTCCAACACGCAGATGAGAAAAATAATGAATACACATCTGAAGATCTAGACACCAGGCTAGGGCCTCCCAGAGCCTCTCATTGCCAGCGACCCTGCTGGAAAATCAGTCTGACCCCTATATCACTCAGAAATACAGTGTGACTGCCAGCAGCAGCCCAATCATCACAGGGGTCTAGGACCCTATCTGGGGACTGAGATGGCACCTCTTTGACACCTTGTGGCTTTCCACAAGCTCTCCAAATAAAATCACATTGTTCTTCCAAATCTCTATACTATTTTAAACGGTCTCTTCTGTAGCTTTAGGCAAACACTGCAAAAATTAAATACATTTTTAAAAAAATTATGTGTATGGATGTTCTGCCTGTGTGTGTATCTGTGCACCATCTGCACGTCTGCTGCCTAGGGAGGTCAGAAGAAGCACTAAATCCCCAGAATTGGAGTTACAGATGGTTGTGAGCTGCCACGGGGGGGGCTGGGAATTGGACCTTGGTCCTCTGGAAAAGAAGCCAGTGCTCTTAACTGTCATCTCTCTAGTCCTCCAAATTAAATTGTTGTAGTACGTTTTCTGGGGGTCATTTTATCCTACTGCTGTAAAAAATAAAAAAATTTTAAAAATCAAGGCATTTTTATTCAGACCTGGACAAGGTTTAGGAACAGGTCCACACTGAGACTTGTGTGGTGGAGAGTTCTGACAGGATACTCTCAGCTCCACAGAAGCTCTCGGGCACTGCATAGCTCACTGTGTGCACCTACCATCACTACCTACTCTTAAAGGTTTGGAAAGCAGTCAATAAGACACACAGGAAGTGAGGCTTCCCACTTAGAGAGTACAGGACAGTAAGTGCTCAGCCCCACGCCACAAAAAGAAATAACACAGCAAGAAATGAAACAGAGTGGGAGGAAAACGGGGAACTCCTGCGTCTCACAGAACTCAGATCCAGAATATACAGAGCTCTGACTGCTCAACAAGAAAAGGAAGCGGTGAGTATTTAAGAAAGCGAACGAGGGCTGGATGTGGTGGCACACACCCTTAATCCGGCCCTCAGAAGGCAGGCTTGAACTCTGGGTTTGAGGCCAGCCTGATCTACATAGGGAGTTCCAAGATGGCCAGGACTATGCGGAGAGACTGCCTCTCAAAGGGGAAAAGGGATTGAATGAATGGTCACTCCACAGGAGACCACAGGATGCTCAATACCATGTAGTTACTGGGGACACATAAACCACATTCTCAAACAAGACAGGAACATGATCACGACTACAGTATGCCACTGCAGACCACACACACTCAGGTGTGGAGTTGGTTGGGACACAGGTTAAGGGCTGGGTGATCTGCAAAGAAATCTTCTAGTTTCTTAAAGATACACACCTGCCGAATGACCCAGGAAAACTATTCCTCATATACCCAAGGAAAGGGACACACACGTACACACATGCTGATGTGCCCAGCAGCTTCATTCCACACTGCACCCTGAGCTGAGATGACACCCTTCTTAGGAGTAAACGTGGACAAAAAACACAGGTATGATGGAACCACAAAACAGGAAAACTGAGGCAGGTGAGCTGCCGGTAGAAAAGGGCCAAGTGTAGTGGTACATTCTTCCAGCACTCGGGAAGCAGAGGGAGCTCTGCAAATGCAAGGCCAGCTGGTCTACACAGTGAATTCTAGACCTGCCGGGGCAAGACAGTGAGGTCCTCCTGTCTTCAAAAAGAAAGGGAAATCCCTGGACTGGTGAAATGGTTCAACAGTCAAGAACTCCAGCTGCTTTTCTAAAAAATCCAAGTTCAATTCCCAGTGCCCATGCAGCAGCAACCATCTCAAAGAAACCAGACACCTTCCAGCCTCCTTGGGCCCTGCATGCATTGTTGTCTACAGACACACAGGCAGGCAGAGCATCAATATGCATAAAATATTTTTTTTAAAAGACCACAGTGAGGCATAGTAAGAACCTACCTAAAATAAAACAAAGCAGAAAAACAGCATACACACTAACAGGAATGAATCCCAAAAACACACTAGAGAAAACCAGACCTAAAGGCTTTACATATCATCCCATTGGCACAGACTGCAGAGACAGAGCACTCGAGGTGGTAGACCCAAGAGTCAACAGCCACCAAAAGCAGAAAGGCAACCCAAATGGGCAGGACACAAGTGTCTTCAATCACAGAACTGCCAAGGGTACACTGAACTGTGGGGTGCCATGACTTGTGACTTCAGCTTCTAAAATGCCTAAAGACACCAAAGAGTTACAGCCTCCACGCCCTTGAATCCTGGGCTAAGTGGCAGCTGCATATCTTCAAAGTGAACATGTAACAGTTCACAAAGTTAAAAATGTTACAAAGTTACAATGCTACAAAGTTAACATGTAACAGGACAGATGAAGGTTAGCTATTAGCTTAAAAGTACAACAAGGGGTAGCAAAATAGCTCAGTAGCTGAAGGTGCCTTCTACCAAGGCTGACAACCTGAGTTCAATCCCTGGGAAAGCACAAGACAGAAGGAAAGAATGAACTCCTTCAAGTTGTCCTTTGACCTCCACCATTGCACATGGGACGTGTTTTATACACACGCACATACACACCACACACATACATGCATGCATACACACACACGCACACAAATATAATGTAAGTGCTTCAGTAAACCAGTTGTTACAGACAACACACATTTCCATTACACACATAAGAAGTTTTACTCTGTAGGCTTACCTATAGAGATGCCGATCATAAAGCTAAAATTAAAGAATGAAAAGTCAGTTATTTAAGTTATTTAGGTTAATTTGTCATGCATTAAACGGTGGCTATCAGCAACATAAGAATGATGACAGGGTGACAAATTTGAGCTCTTAGTTGCCAGGGAGCCAGTCAGGAAGGTCAGAAGACAAAGGCCCACCTCATCCTGGCCTCGGTTATGTTTTTCAGGTTCATTTCTCTAAAGGGAAACTGAGGCACACAGACATGAAGAAAGAGGGTGGCCCCTTTCGTCCTGGCCCACTGATCACCACTGATCAAAACTCATCATGCCAAATGGATCTGGTGTTTTCTGTCTTCAGAAAAACTCAAAAGTAATTTAGTTCATTGTTAGTTCCACCAAACTCTTCAGACATACCAGAAATTCCTACAAAAACTAAAAGCAGCATCCCTGTTACTACCCACATTCCTCAGAAACAGGAAATCCTGGTTCAGAGGACACAGGGGCTCCATTTTCTCAGCCTCTTCATGGGGCTGCCACCCTCACCTCCACACCTCACTTCCAATACTGAGCAAGGATGCCAGGCTCTGCTTCAAAGCAAAAAATGTTAAAACTAACCAAATGGCCTCATCACAGTCATTATGATCTAAGACAAACCGTTATTATAAAAAGAGGAATAGAAAAGTATTTGCAACCGGAGAGGGTACTCAGGAATGTGGAGAAATCTTAATTCCTGGAAAATACCCTGGATTCATACTTTGGTGTGGGAGGTCCTTCTGTCTGTGTGTTGTTGCTTTTATCGGTTAATGAATAAAGAAACTGCTTTGAACCTATGGCAGAGCAGGGCTGGAGCCGGACGAAACTTTACCCGTAAGCCACAGCCATGTGGCGATACAAAGATTACTAGAAATGGGTTAAATTGAGATGTAAAAGTTAGCCAATAGCAATCTAGAGCTAATGGACCAAGCAGTGATTTAATTAATATGGTTTCTGTGTGGTTATTTTGGGAGTCTGGGAGGCCAGGAAACAAACAAGCGGTCTCCTACAACAATACTTTTTTATGTCACAGAAGGTTTTGAGAATCTCCAAATCCCAGAAAAGTATACATGCTTCCCATTCCCTAAAATGTACAACATTTGGGATTAAATTTCAGGAGAGTGGAGATTAGGACCTCAGGGTCAAAGGTAGAAATGAAAGGACGTTGTTTTATGGGTACCCAACTCTCCAGAAGGACATCTGATCCCTCAGCTGGGAACTCCTGTTAAGGACCAATGAGACACCAATACTGCCCTGAGACCCACTGATTGTGATGCCCATCCAACAAGATGGCTTCTGGCCTCAGAGAACAAGTCTAGTCCAACTACCAATTCCAGATAAACTCCCACAAGGGTAATGTTGGTGGAGAGAACCCATCATGTCCTGGTCAACGAGGTAAGCAGACCCTGTCCAGGTGGAAGAGGTTCAGACAGACCACACAAACCTGCTGGTGGATCTGCTTCAGGCTCTGCACTGCCTTCTCATCCAGATAGTCTGTGACGGGCCTGCAGAAAGAGAAGCACTGAAGCCAGAGCTCAGGTTCACAGTCAAGAACACACAAACTCAGAAAGATCAGCCTTGTCCGTGCTCCCACAATCCCGGGAGATCTCCTACTCCTGCTTGTATGAAAGCTGTGCTGAGGGCTGGAGAGATGGCTCAATGGCACTGCTGCTAAGCCTGGGACCCACGAGGTAGAAAGAAAGGACTGAGTCCCCTTCAGGTCGTCCTCTATCGTCCACATCTGCATCACGGCAAACTCATGCCCACACGTGTGGCTGTAAGTTCAATATTTTTATACATATGCGCATTTTTGCCATCATGTGTATGTGTACCATATGCATGACCGAGGCCCATGGAGTCCACAGAATGTACTGGGAATCCCTAGAACTGGAGTCACAAAGATCTGTGAGCCATCACTCGGGGGCTGGGAACTGAACCCGGGTCTTCTGCAAATGTTCTTTACTACTAAGCCATTGTCTCCAGGCATTAAATTTAATTTAAAATAGAAAAAAAAAACAAATAATAAGAACATAAGCAGAGAAGGGAAGACACCCACTATCAATCTCTAGCCTCCACATATACACATATGGACAAGTACATCTGTACACACATGCACACACGCGCATGCACACACACACAATGCTGGTTTCGGCAGCTGGGTGCTATCTTTATGCTCTGACCTATAGCCAGTTTGCTGAAGACACAACCTTATGATCAGGACAGAAGTACCCTTACTGAACACTGGGCCCCTGCTGACACCGTGGAAGTCCCCTAGTGACATGCTCTGAATTAATGCTGTAGATTGAGCTATGGCATGTGCCAGGCAGAGCCAAGCAGTATCAACTACCTGTGGTGCCACTGTGTTTCAGGCCTAACTATGCACAGCCACAAACACCCTGGGGATCTGATATCTATTACTTGCTAGGCTGAGCTTTGTGGTAACTAACTCCAGCTCCCTGGAGATCTAGTCTGCTAGGTGCTAGGCAGAGCCACACAGAGCCCCGATGCCCTGGAGGTCTGAAATCTCCTTTGTGTTGAACAGAACCATGTAAAGTCCAACACCTTGAGGCCTTGTATAAACCCAACATCTTGGGAATGTGTCTCAAAGGTACCATGTCATCACAATGCACTGCTGAGACATGTCCTGGCCCATGTGCCTTTCACCAAGGACGGCAAGGTCTTCAACATTAGGTAACCATTCCACCCATACAGATTGTGAGCTGTGTTCTGAGGCCAAGGGACAATCAACCTCCTTGGGGCTGATAGGTAGGAATGAGGTCCATGCTGTCACCCTGACCCAGGGAGCCACCTACACACAGGAAATGACTTAAGTACAAGTTTCAAGCTTGAACCTAAGGGCAGGTCATAGATGGCACTGTGTCTATAAGATCTTATTTTTGAGGAATCAATTGCACAGTGACATAAGGAAATCACACAGCTCTTGGAATGCACCACGGTGCATGGTCCTGAGTTTTTGCTTTGTAGTTATATTATAAATAAAGCCAATGCATGGGGGGGGGGGGGGGGGAGATTCCCAAAGAAAACTTCCAAACTTGTCTTTTTTTTTTCTTTCTGGGTTTTTCTCCAGACAAGGTTTCTATGTGAATCTCTGGCTATCCTGGAACTCATTTTGCAGATCAAGCTGGCCTCGAACTCTGAGATTCACCTACCTCTGCCTCCCAAATGCTGGGATTAAAGCTGTGTGCCACCACTGCACAGCCCAAAGTAGTTTAAATTACTCAAGTGACAAATGGGGACTGAGGAGATGACGCCTTGCCACACAAGTCAAACAACCTGAGTTCAGATCCTCAGAACCCAGGTAAAAGCCAGACACAGTGGTGCATCTGTACATACCCCCAGAGCATCATCTGAAGATCACAGGCAGCTTGGTGAGCCGCAAGGCCGACACCGTCTTCAACAAGGGGGACCATGAGGAAGACGTTCAAGGTTTCCTCTGACATACATGTGCTCTGTGGCACACACGTGTGCATTGATACACATTCACACATGATGGAGGAAGGTCATTGGCTAATAAAGGAACTGCCTTGGCCCATTTTATTGGTTAGGACATAGGTAGGTGGAGTAAACAGAACAGAACACTGGGAGGAAGAGGAAGTGAGCTCAGAGACTCGACCGCTGTCCTCTCGGGAGCAGACGCCTGAGAGAGACGCCATGCTCCTGGCTCCTGGGCAGACGCACGCTAAGAAGCTCCGACCCAGGATGGACATAGGTTAGAATCTTCCCGGTAAGCGCACCTAGGGGCGCAACACAGATGATTAGAAATGGGCTAAATTAATATGTGAGAATTAGCCTAGAAGAGAATGGGCCAAGCGGTGATTAAATGAATACAGTGTCCGTGTAATTATTTCGGGGCATAAGCTAGCCGTGTGGGCGGCTAGGGTGCTGGGGACACAGCCCCGCCGCCCCCTATTACTACACACACACGGAATGGTAACTTTACTGCTCAGTGCCACCCCTGAACAGGTGGTCATTGCTCTTGCTGTCTGAGTCCTTGGGATGAAGAGGGGAATCTAAACAGCAGAGGCAGCAGAGGCCCCTTACAAATGCCAACCAGCAGCCCTTCCCTGATAAGAGAGAGTAGTCCTAACCACCAAAAGCCTCAACATACAACGGAACCCAAAACACACAAATGATCAACCATCAGAGCAGACATACTACTCTCCAACCCCAAATCACTACTGTTACCTAGTTTCCCAGATGACATCTCCTACCTGTTGCTCTGTGAAACCAGCTTGTACAGGGCATAGGCGATCTCTGCGCAGGAGAGGATGGCACCATGTCTGGTGTGCAGATCTGAGCTCAGTGTCATCAACAATAGTGCCGGGAAGACTGCAGTGGTCAAATTGGAGAACACACCCGGGACAACTCATTACTCAGAAGCATTTCCTCTGGGGTTGGTCAGGGTCAGCACCCCTGTTTCTGGTGGGCAGAGATCTCTTCTGGGCAACCAGAGCAACATGCTAGGGCATGGCATATAAATCAGTACATGCACACAGGCCCCGGGATGCCCAGTGATATCACATCTGCAGATTCTCCCATCTGCACCTCTGCCCCACAGATGGTGGTAGCACTCTGCCTGAGGGCAGCAGGCAGATCAAACGCCACACAACCATAAAAGGTGACAGGCACTTCCATCCTTCCCAGTGAGATAAAACCTCAGCCTCTGGTGTTTATGGAGGAGAAGACAGAACAGCTCCAAATTCTAAGTCACACCAATCTAAAGGCACTGACAACCGCTGAATCTCCCATCATTTTAACCTACATAATGCAACCCACAGACTCCTTGTTTTGTGGATATCACCTGTGCTGAACGCCACCCAAAGCTGCCTCTGTATAAGCATATTGTGTTTGTCTTGGTACTCTATCCTGGTTTAGCCTACAGCCTACTCTTCAGCAACAGACATAGGACGTCATCTTCATCTACTATGAGAATAGCACATCTTTCTGCTTGTATGACGGCCGTAGGAAGTGGAACACACACCTACCATGCGAGGCCATGTACTCGGGTACTTGTGGGGTCAGGTTGTGCAGCGCTTTTGCAGACAGTTCTCGGATGGCCCTGAGAAGTAACAGTAGCTGTTACAGAGGGGTTTGCACACTCGCTCCTATCGGCTTTATTCAGCAGCCCTGAGATGGAAGCACCCAAGGATCTATCAACAGATGATATATAAGCAAAATATGGTAGATACAATGGAATATTACTCAACCAAAAAGGGAGAGAATTGTGACACTTGCTATGACAAAAATGACTGTTTGTAGCTAGTAGGTTTTTCTACTAACTTTTGTAGAAGGCTTCTTTTGTAAGGCTCTAAAGTTAAGGACTGTTTTAATTTTTAAGGGTCATATATATGAGTCAGAGACCCAAAGCATTAACTATCTGTCCCTTTAAAGAAAAAGCTGATAGCCCATACACAGCAGATTCAATATCATGTTCCATTTTAAGACATTTATGAAACATTTCATAATGATAAACACATCAGGAAGATTAAAAATTAGAGGTATATGGTGGCGCACGCCTTTAATCCCAGCACTCGGGAGGCAGAGGCAGGCGGATCTCTGTGAGTTCGAGAGCAGCCTGGTCTACAGAGCGAGTTCCAGGACAGGCTCCAAAGCCACAGAGAAACCCTGTCTCAAAAAAAAAAAAAAATTAGAGGTATACATGTATCTAAAAAGAAATCCAAATCAAAACACAGGAAAGAACTGACAGAATTAGACAATCAATCAGATTTCAAAAGTTCAAAAACTTAAGCTAGCTCATGGATTGCATATTTACAATGTAGTTTTAAATGTCTTGTTGGCTCGTCAACTAATATAAAAAGGCAATTTAATTTTAACCTCTGGCTGGGCAAGCCTAGGTGCTCTTCTCCCCATAAGAGAGCTAACATCCCATCTTCCTGTATACCTGGCACATAAGGTCCTGAAGGAAGGGAAGGTTTCCTGGCAAGTGGTCACAGCTAGCCCAAGCGAACAACTCGGAGGCTTGGGCCAGAGGCTCCTCACTCCGGAGAGTCCAAAGCAGACTGCACACAGCTATACAAGCATAGCTGCAGCCAACGAACATTTGCAAGGCTTTGGTCCTTGGGAAGCTGAAACCCCAGTATCAGAGTCTTTCAACCACAAACACCCGCTCTGACACTGGGCTTTGGAAGGGGCACCACGATTATACTACTAATTCCCCCAGCATTTGCCCTGTGTTGGCTGACCAGGCCTACCTAGAAATGGTATCAAAACACTGACAGGGCTTACATCTAGGTTACAGTTGCCTTTCTTCTTTGAAGACACATTTACCTACCTATGAAATACCACGATGGCCCCAAAGCTGCCACTGTCATTATGAAAACTACCACTAAAGTCTGCTCAGCTCTTAGGTGACAATATGTAAGATACCTAGGGAGGCCAAGCAGAGCAGAATCGGTATGGAGGCCGGTCAAACGACCAGGAAGACCAGGCTATGCCAGCTGCCTGGACTGCCCTGTCCTCAGGCGATAGCTTCCCTGTTACATATGACAAGCGTATTCAGCAATAATTATTTACGTCTCAGGGTTCCCTGACCAACAGCCCCAGAAGTGAAACCAGACAGACCATTAACAAGCATGCCACACACAGGGACTGGGATTTTCTTTACTTATCAGAAATAATTATCTTAAAATAGTTTATCTACAATGAGAAAATACACTCGTGACTTATAAGTTCAATTAAACTTCTCCTGTTGGGGGAAAAAGGGGAATTTTCAGAGAATACAAAACCACAAAACCTACCCATCCCAATGGTTGATTTTCATGGAAACCAAGTGGTCAATCATCGGCTTGGTGTATTCTTGGAAGCCAGCAATAAACACACTGAAAGACATAATATTAAGATCTCAAGAAAGGGGCAAATATGAGCAGGTACAATGACACATGTATAAAACTCTCTTAAGCCATTATTTTATGTATTGAAGCCAGAACCCGTAGCATAAATTCTAATTGGTCTTAATAAAAACCTGGAGTCAGCTATCGGGGTGAAAGCTGAAAGATCAGAGAAGCAGAGCAGCCAGCCACTAGTTCTTACGGAATCCTCAGACCAAGGGGCAACCTTGTCCCTATGAATCCACAGACTGAATGCCGTCTCTTCGAAACAGCATTTCAGATTGAATGCTCAGGCTGAATGCCCCGAGCTCCTGTCTCCTCCTGCCTTATATTCCTCGCTCCACACAGTCATATTACTCCTGTCTCCACCTCCCCAGTGCTGGGATTAGATGTACATAATCCCAAGTTCTGGGATCACCTTTGTGCGAGCTCTGTTTCTCTTTTAGACAGATTCCAATCTCGTGTAGCCCAGGGTGGCCCTGAACTCAGAGATCCATCTGCCTCTGTCTCCTGAGTGCTGGGATTAAAGGTGTGTGGCACCATTGCCTGACTTCTATGGCTACCTAGTGACTTAACTCTGCACTCTGATCTTCAGGCAAGCTTTATTTGCTAGATCACAAACAAAATATCACTACAAGAACCTTCATGTACTACTCTTGAGAATGCAAACTAAAACAATTACACTCAAAAATAGTTTGGCCATCCCAGCACTTGGGAGGCAGAGGCAGGCGGCTCTCTGTGAGTTCGAGAGCAGCCTGGTCTACAGAGCGAGTTCCAGGACAGGCTCCAAAACCACAGAGAAACCCTGTCTCGAAAAAGAAAAAAAAAATTGTTTGGCCATTCCTTCAAAAGTAAAATGTACCTACCAGATGACCCTGTGTTACTGTAGGCAGCAGAGCATCCGTCCAGAAACCATGCCCACAGCTCAGCAGCATACCCAGTGCTGTGACTGGGAGCAGCTCGCTGTGCTCATGCAGCTGATGGAGAAGCAGACTGCTTATTCATCCATGCCACAGGAATGGGTTTTTTGTTTGAAGCCTGGGCTTTACTACATACCCCCTGGCTGACATGGAATTTGCTATGCAGCCTAAACTAGTCTCAAAATCACAAAGACCAGCCTGCTTCCCAAACACCGGAATTGAAGGCATGCATCATCAAACCTGGCTTTTTGTTGTTGTTTTAAAGATTTTTTTCCATTTGATTTGGCTTTTTGAACTTTTCAGAATTACACACGAGTACTGTATTTACATCATTTTCATTCCACCCTCTCCCCCCAACGCCTTCTGTCCACCCTCTGACTCCTTTACAATTTCATGACCTCTTCAACTATTAGTGAGTGGGTATGAATAAACACAACCTTCCAAGTGCTGCTGGTCTCATTTAGTGTGTGCTCCTTTAATAATACTTAAGGCTGACCACTTGGGGCTGGATAACCTACCAGGGGGCTTGTCTCTGGAAGAGAGTGATTCTTCCTCTGTCAGCAGCCAATAATTGCCTACAGCTCCTCTAGATGAGCCTTGTGAGTTTCCCCACCTACACTGGACTATGATCTGGGGGGGTTCATAGTGCAGGTCTTGTTTATTGTTTCCTGGGTACAGTGCCCTGTCATATACAGAAGATATGATCAAGGAAGATGCTCTGGTCCTCGGGCTCTTACAATCCTTCCACCTCCTCTTCCATGTTTCCTGAGCCTTAGCTGTATGAGCTGTGTTGTGGACAAACCTACTGAGGATGGGTACCAGTGATCAGTTGTTCTCTGCATTTTTACCAATTGTGGATTTCTATGATAGATTCTCTGCTGAAAAAAGCTTTTTGATTTTGGATGAGAGTTGTATTTATCTGTGGATATACGGACAGATATTTTGAAAGCAGTTGGCAATTACACTGGTTCAGAAAAGGTAACAGTTGTAGGCTCTCCTTTAGGGGGACCTCACCAGCCAGGGCAGCTTGGCGAGGTTTACAGTACCTGATGTGGATACAGTTCCTCCCCCCTTTGAGGAGGCCTTAAGTCCAATTAAATTATTGTTCAAGTGCCACTGTGTGCCCTGGGTATTTTCTGCTGTGCTGATCACTGTGGTTCACAGACTTTTCAGCTGCATAGAATTATTAATTGCTTTTCTGCCTGGGCAGCCTGCACAGCACCTTCAGATACCATGAAAGCTAGTCCTCAGGATTATTCCAGGTTAGTTCCAGCTCAATTCCTCCAAGTCCCTTTCCGAAGTGTGCTGCTAAGGACAGCAGCAAAAACCTATTAACTCTGGGAGTCTCTTGTAACTTTCCTGACCAGTAACTCAAAAGGAGGCTTCCCATGCCTGACACTGGGGTTTTTGTTACATACTGTGGTCAGGATGAGAAATGTCCCCATGGTCTCAGGCACCTGAGCAGCTGGTTCCCAGGCGGCAGTGCTGCTTTGGAAGGCTTAGGTTAGACCAGCCTCGCTGGAGGAAGTATGTCACTGGGGTGGGTTCTAAGAGTAAAAGGCCTCACACCCACTTGCATTTCACTCTGCTTCTTATATATGGTTGAGGTGTGAACTCCAGCCACCATACCTGCGGCTTGCTGCCATGATGGAATCTTAGCCTTCTGGAACCTTAAGCCCAAATCATCGTGTTCTTCAATAAGTTGTCTTGGGCATGGTGTTGTATCACGGCAACAGACAAGTAACTGATACAGTCGATGGCTCTTGGGGGAAGCAGTACCACCAAGTGTTATCACGTCATTATTACATACATGTATGTACGCAACACACTTCTCTATTGTTCATAAATGTTTAAGTAAACATAAAATGCTTCCCTGTGGATTTTCCCATCATCCTTAGTGTCATTGTTTGCTCGTGTTGCCTTTAAAGTCCTTGGATTCTTTGATGATGTTCATGACTGTTCTTTTAAATTCTGTATTCTTGGTTTCATTTTGGTAATTCTCACTTCTATAGAACTGGTGGATCGTGGTGAGTGGTGGGTGAACTGGAGCAACAGAGGTGACTTCAATTCAGAAATAAACAAATGGAACATACTGGATCTGCTTGGGATAGTGTGCAAGTTGATTTACCCGTCTATGCCTAGGGAATGTGAGGCTGCCATGAATGGCCCAGAGTCCTAAGCAGTCACCAAGGCAGGCCAGCATACAGGCTGTATGACTAAGTTTAAGCCTTGGGGTGGGGATAGCACAGGCCAGCAGAGTTTCAGGAACTCTCCAGACTAAGCCAGCACACAGGATATGCAACCCAGACTAGGTCTGTGGGTGGGGAAGGTGTAGGTGGGCCAGGGTCCAAGGAACTCACCAGACTGGATCAGAGCACAGGGTGTCTGACCCAGGCTAGGCCTTGAGGGTATGTATAGTTTGGGTAGGCTAAGGGTCAGACAGACCCAACAGATCATTTTTAGTCATTTAATGTGTTACAATCTGTGTTAGTATAAACTACACGTGTGTGGGTCCCCGAGGAGGCCAGAGAAGTGTGCTGGATCTCCCATAGTTTGAGTTACAGGCAGCTGTGAGCCTTCTGACTTAAGTGTTGGGAACTAAACTCCTATCTTCTGCAAGAATAGCAACATTCTTAACCAGAGTCCTCTCTCTTGAATTTCTTGACACAACACATAAAATGAACAAACTGCAAAACAATTATCCTAAGGGAAAGAAATTAAACAAATGTGAAAAGTAATATATAACAGAAAAATAACTTGGTGATGGTGCTCACAACCATTACCCATCTGGCAGTTTAAGTATCCTCCTCTGTCAGCAACAGCAAGCTTCATACTCTGTATGCCTGTAACATGCGTTAACTACACATCAGTAAGGCTATGAAAAGTGTACAGAAAAATAGGCACAGTTGTCAATTTACACTAAAAAATATAAAGGAAACAAAACCCAAATTTAAAAAAAAAAAAGGCCTACATTTGCCTAGGAACATCACTAAAAAAGAAATAAAAATCCAGTAAGCACATGGAAATATGTCCAACACAGGACATAAGCAAAGATGAAATGCTCTGAAAGGAAAGATGTTCAAAGACGGGCTGCTACTGATCTCAGGAAGGTATGGAGAGGCCAATGTGAGTGTGGTTTACACATTCACAGTCCTGTACAGAGTAAAATCGCCACAAATTCTCACGCCCTTGTGTAACAGAATTAAATACACATTCACATAAAGATTTCTAAGTGTTTACAAGTGCCTTATTCGTCAGAATAACAAATTGAAAAATGCTAACCACTGACCAGCAGGCACCCAGCAGGCAGGCACCCGGCAGGCAGGCTACATGCACCACAGCAGCATGGACACACACCACAACACACAATACAGAGGAATCGCGGTGTTCAGTGGAAGAACTCAGACAAGGGAAAGCTCACTCTTCAAGTAATATGAGAGAACACAAAGCACCTGCACCCAGAGCGAGGCAGAACAGATTGCAGAGAGAGTGGGAAGCCTCTGCACAACGGCGAAAGTATAGTTCCCTGGGAAGGTACACTGTCAGCACCTGCTAAACTGTACAATAACGAGAGACACACTGTAGGGTGCAAGGGAAGCGGAAAAAAGTTACAAGGCTGAGAGTCCAGCTCAAGGTGTGAGAGCTCCCCTCGCAAGCTTGAGGGTATGGGTTTCCTCCCAGAACCACTGGAAAACAACTCTTAGAAACAACAAGGCAGGGCTTAAAAACAATCTATAGGTGGGATGGATCTTTCTAATTTAGGAAAAAAAACCTAGAACCGTGTAAGAAGTTAAAGTATTAAAACACAAACTTAAAGCTCTAAGAAAAATGTCTTTCAGGAAAAAAAATAAAAGTCAAAGCAAACAAACAAAGAAAACACACACACGCACAAAGTATCTTCTGCTGGTATCACAGCAGACTTCCTTGAAATAATCAAATTCTTTCACTCAATAAGGACATCCATCCATAAGAAAAATCACCAGGAGCATCAAGGGCAGTGCATACTCAACCTCCAGAAGCTAAGTTCAATGCAGGAAATGAAAAAGAATTTAATGCATCTGCCAAACGACTACCGAGAGCTTACCACGGTCAGGAGCTGAAGGACCCACTGTGGACAGGGCAGCCCTGAAGACTACCTAGGGCTTGCACATGGTATTAAACAAGCACTCTGGTGAGAGCATGCCAGGGACCACAACTTCACTTTTGATATTTTCATGTATAACACACAAGTAAAAAGTTGTTATCAACCATGCAGCATTTATGAAGACTGATTGGCCCCAAGGATCTGCTGAGATCAGTGTCCAGACACAGATTGCTGTGCTTCCACTCTCAGGAAACATATACTAGCTAAACAGTGGACCAAAGATGCCCCTCACCTAGCCAGCCAACCTGCCCATATGCAACATAAGCAGACTCTCAGTAAACTGTTAACAGGAACTCCTGCATGGGACCAGGAGATGGAAAGAAGAAATAAGTGGCTTTTCCTAGGAGATAGGAATGGGGCCACATCATCAAGGACCTTGGCTGCAAGGTTCTATGGCTTGTCCCTTGCATACACAGAAGCCAGGTTCACACCCAGTCAGCAACGCTAAAGCCTGCAGCAGGGTCAAGGAAGGGCAGGATTCCAGAAAAGTGGACAAATAATTTGTGCCTCACAGAAGAAGGGAGCAGAGTGAGGAGACCAGACCACCAGAGGCCACTCCTATCTCTGCCACCAACTAGCTGTGACCTTATGGAAGACAAGCCTGAACCTTGGCCCAAGGCAGCAATGAAGCCATAGGTAGCATGCAGGGTACTGGGAGGGGGGAGACAGACACAAAGGTACAGGAAGGGAAAGGAGCGAGCTAGCATAATCTAAGGAAGATGTCAGATGCCAGGGTGGCGGGACAAAGCATTAAATGGGGGTTGGGTAGCCAGGGACAGGAGGAGGACCAGAAGGGGACACATGTTTGAAGCTGATGAGGGATGTGTAAATGGCAGAATTAAGACACCCAGCACTATGAGGACAAGAAACGGAACAGAGATGATGGTTTAGGCAGGTGGAGGCACTCCATCTTGAGGTCGCCTTGCTTTGAGTCACTTAGAGGACACAGTATATGAGATTCCTGGAAAACAAACTACTAGATAATAAAAAAGGTGACAATTTTTCAAACGGTGCTCAAGGCTGGAGATGTTGAGAAACTGACAAATGGACTGAGAAAATGGCCTGGCAGAAAAACACCACGTCCAGTGGCCACGGGGGTTAAATCACATAGACCAAAGTTCTTCACCCAGTTAACAGACAGACTTTGGTATGTCCACAGGGACAGTGACAACCCAGCCACATTCCTATGAGACTTTGTGTTCCATTCCCATGAAGTCCAGGGGTGAGAAACCTGAGGACAGAGCAGGCAAGGCAAACCTTGGTGGACGTCTGGCCACCTCCTAGAGGTAGACACGTCCTCCCTGAGGACCATGAAAAGATTCTGTTTTCCAACTACTCACTTGCCCATGACCCACACGTTACACAAATGCATATTTAAAACTACAGTACAACTGTATGTTATGAAACATGTACTTTTTTTAAAGGTTCTGACACAAAAGCCTGCAGGACACTGAAAGAATATATCAGTCCAGTTAAAAAATAATACAAACTGTTGTATGACGTTTTCTTCTTTTGGTTTTTTGAGGGGTCCGCCACCCAGCTCCCAAATAAATCACGTACCCTGAGGCTTATACTTAGTTATGAAAGCGCAGCCTTAGCATGGCTTGTTATTGCCAGTTTTTTAAAAATTATCTGGACTACCTTTGGCCTCTGAGCTTTTATCTTTCTCTATTTCTATACCTTTCTCTCCTTGTTACTCAAGACTTGCTGTGCAGCTGGTGGCTGGCCTCTGATGTCCTCCTCTCCTTGTTGTCTGGCTCCTCCTTCTCTTTGTCCTTGGCTCTCCTATTTATCCTCTCTGCCTGTCAGCCCCGCCTATCCTTGCTCCTGCCTCGCTATTGGCCGTTCATCTCTTTATTAAGACCATCAGGTGTTTTAGACAGGCCCAGTAACACAGCTTCACAGAGTTAAACAAATGCAGCGTAAACAGAAGTCACACACCTGAAAATAATATTCCCCAACAACAAACGATACCTCCAAACTTTCTAGTGTTATTTCATTTGTATTTTAACAAATAAAACTAGCCTAAAGATCAGAGAGTAAAACTGCCACACTGGTCAGCCCAACAGACCAGGCAGTGGTGACACACACCTTTAATCCCAGCAGCCACACTAATTTGCCACGGAAACTGGGCAGTAGTGGTGCACGCCTTTAATCCCAGCACTACAGAGGAATATAATATGGGAAGAGAGACTCAGTCTCATTCTAAGGGTTCCTAGAGGCAGGACCACCATTTCGGACTTAAGTAGAGGTAAGAGCCAGTGGCTGGCTGTTTTACTTTTCTGACCTTCAGGCTGAACCCCGGGGGATATCTGTCTCTGGGTTTTTATTAATCATGCTACAGAACATCTGAGAAAGAATATGAAGAATCCTCAAATTCCCACCAGGCACAGAGCCGAGGGCCACGGGCCTCACTATGTCCTTCACCATGTGAATGCTACAGATTTGCTCACACCACGATACATCAAGACATGTGCTGAACACGCACAGTCTACCATGCGTCTTCAACACGCAAAGGTGAGCACCAGCTCTGGGTCTCACCAAATATCTTCCCAAGGGACCTTCCTCCACTTTTGATTCTGGTCCACAGAGCAGAACACCTAGCTCAGAGGAAGCTCCTCTGTAATAGCCTGGATCCTATCCCAATTGAGGACTGTCCCAGGCCCCCAAATTCAACACAGACAGAGCAGAGGGCCCAGCCTTTCCCAGTACCCATCAAGCACGTAGTCCCTTCCTTAAATCCTCATTGTCTAGTACCCCAATACCACTTGCTTCGTGGACCAACTTCCAGATGACTTTCCATTCACCACACAGTGCTGAACAAGTATATTGCATTTGGGGGTTGTCTTAGTTTGGGTTTCTACTGCAGTGACAAACACCAGGCCCAAACCAACGTGGGGAGGAAAGGGTTTACTTGGCTTACACTGCCACAGCACTGTTCATCGTCAAAGGGGTCAGGACAGGATCCCAAACAGGGCAGGAATCCGGAGAAAGGCGCTAATGCAGAGGCCATGGAGGAGTGTCGCTTACTGGCTTGGCCCCATGGCTTGTTCAGACTGCTTTCTCATAGAACCCAGGACCACCAGCCTAGGAATGCCAGTACCTAATGGGTTTGGGCCCTCCCCAATCAATCACTAATTAAGAAAATGCTCTACAGGATTGCCTGCAGCCAAATCTGTATGGAGACATTAATTGTGGTTCCCTCCTCTTGGATGACTTTAGCTTTTAATTGACAATAAAATTATCCAGCACAGGACCTCGGAGCACACTATGTCCCTGCTTGACCCCACACCTGGCTCTCAGTCACGGCCTTCTACAAGCCCAGCACCTGCTATTATCCCTGTAAATCCTACCCTCCAGGATGTAGTCAGGGAGATGAGACCCTGGTCAGAGGCCCTGTGCAAGGAGGCAGTGAAGCCTGCTAATGGGCGGTCCTCAGAAGACAGCAGCTGGTCTGCTGCTCAGACCAGAGCATCACATGGGCCCAAGGTGCTGGAGAAGAAGCGTGCTGGGGCTAGGTCATGCTCTTTGTATTTTTACAGAACGGAAATAATAATATGGTTAAGTTTTAAACTGATGTGGAAGGAAACCTTAGCAACAAGTAGAATTTTTCTAAGTCCAACTTAACTACCATCTATTTTACCTAGGAAACTCCAGAAAAGGGGTCACAGAACTTCACATACAAAATCGAAGCGCTAATACTCAGCAAACAAAGAACACAAGGACACGAGACATGAAGCCCTGGGCCGAGGGGCAATGGCATGCAGCGGTGGGCACGCGTGGTTACACGCTTCCTGGGTGGGTTGACCACTTTTTGATTTTAGTTATTTAGTTGTTTGTTTGTTTGTTTGTTTAAAGTCTGTCAAGGCTGGTTATGGAGACGTGTAAATTCTGCACGGTCTGCACAGCAGGGCTGTTAGGAAATCTACCCCCAGGGCATAAAATAATCAGGAACTTAAAAAAAATGTACTTGGCATGTCTCTCCTAACTCACATCAACTAAACTACTTCATAAAGCATCCCCTTTTCACGTTAGCATTACAGTGCAAAACTAGTCCCTAGTACTTAAGTTATGCAAGTAAAAATAATTTGATGTGATTTCTGAAAACAGCAGGTAAGGGTGTTAAATATTTATTCCTTGACCTGATTTCTTAATCTATCTTACTGATCTGATAATCAGATAATTTCAACTTGGACACACTTTTTTTATTAAAAGAGAAAAAATGCACAGTCATTTCGAATCCAAAATGTCATTTTGAGAGACCAATACATTTGTTACACCTGGTGGGAAGGACATGTGTAACTGTGTTTGTGGCTACTCCCCGTATGGTACCAACCCCGGACAGTGACGTGTGAGCACACACGTGTGTACCACGGAGTATAAAACTGGTCTGAAAACACTTCAATTTGTCCTTCCTACAACGTAAGTTATGTCCACACCAAGGAGACCACAGTATAATGAACCAGGGAACAGCAGAAGCTGATGTTTGACACCCAAGCCTTATTACAGTTGTGTTACACACGTTAAAACTTACCTTATCACAAGGAAACAGTTAGATATGTTTCCAACTGCAAAATAGTCTGCTGTCGTCAAAATATCAATTCCATGAGGGAAAGTACCCTGAAAAAAGTAAAAGTGAAGAAAATAGAGAAGTTGAGAAATGGGACCTGAAATCACTGGTCACACGCTCACAACAGAGTGGCTCAAGCTGAGCCACACGGCTCATGGGTGCCCAGATGGTTGTCAGTGTTCATCCTGCCTGCCTGGCCAGACGCTGCGGGTAGTACAACTCATTCTTCAAACCCACTGTTTCAACTTCAAGTGCTATAAAAGTCCTTCCTTTAAAAACACAGTGGGGGCCAGGCAGTGGTGCTGCATGCCTTTAATCCCAGCACTCGGGAGGCAGAGGCAGGCGGATCTCTGTGAGTTCGAGGCCGGCCTGGTCTACAAGAGCTAGTTCCAGGACAGGCTCCAAAGCTACAGAGAAGAAACCCTGCCTCGAAAAACAAACAAACAAACAAACAAAACAGACAAATAAACAAAAAAGTACTGGGTCCCAACTCTTGGAGCTTGGTCCCCCTTTCTGGTCACAAAGACAACAGCATAGCCCTCAATTCCACAGCTGTTGGAGCAGAAAGGCCAATGAAAGACAGGCAAGCCCCTGCCTGTCTCTGAGACGTGGACCTGGGCCCACACTTACTAGTTGCCATAAGGACAGATGAAGCTGATAGAAACAGCCACTTTCAGGGCTAATGGCCAACCTATAAGAGATTCAAGGAAAGCAGCCATCAGTCCCCCAAACTCCAAAACAAGAGGCAGGCCCCTCCATTCTCTCCTACCAAGAATATGCCTATTGGAACTCCAGCCCAAAAAGCATCACATTATTGGTATTCCCTTAATATTATCCCTCGTGGTTAAAAGAATCTAGAAACTAAATAAAAAACTTTATTTAAAAATGTAAATATAGAAAGTTGTAGCCAAATGTAGAAAGCCTTACAGCTTTGGGCCCAAAGGTGAGTCTGTTCCAAAAGCAGAGGAGATTCCAAATCTATGCACAACACCGGCATAAGCAAAAGCCAAGAAAAGCGGCAGGTACCCACCACCAGCACATCCCTGCATCTCACACAGCCAGCTCACAACAGTCTCAGACGTGCATCTACCAGTATATGTATGTGTGTGACCAGATCCAAAGAAACTGACACAAAATAAAGACATTGACAATCTGAGTCTGAATTTCTACATGGAATTCAGGCTATTTATTACCATGGAGACAGTATCAAAAACAAAAGTTTAGTCCTTGAGCTATATATAAATGCCAGTTAGTCTGAGGACATGGTAGGATGCACCACCCATCTGGAATCCAGAAGAGCTGAAAACCCAGGCCTAAGTAAAACACCTGAGGTTTGTCAGCCTCCTGCTCCCTGGCCTCTGTCCTTAGGGCTACCCCAAGCACAGAATGAAAGGGCTGGAAAACACAGCCAGCAGAGGAAGCAACTCCTTCCTCCGTGCAGCCCACCTTCAGGTTCAGCCTCAATGCCTTCACCCTTTCTGTAAGCTAATCCTGGAGCCTTGATCACTAATACCTCACAACTTCACAAGCACTACCCAACAAACAGTCCCCCTGAGAACTAGAAAGGCTGCCCCAGCCTCTGCCTGTGAGGAGAGTGATGAGCTAAGGTGTCCTGGTTCTGCAGAGTACACACTCTGTGTGCTCTTATCATATTGCTTGATGATACGAGAGATGTAAATGTCTTTTTATCAGAGGTAAAAGAAGACAGAGGAAATTCCATGTTTAAAAAAATTGGTAAAGACATCATCTGGCTAGAATTTCTCCAGATTAGCATATTCTTAAAGTCAAGATTTCATTCTCCCTAGCAAAATGCTAGTCCAACTTGAATTAGCCAATCAAGTAATGTAAGGCCAAGCTCTAAGAACTCAGTCTGTGAGGCACAGAGCCCCTTGCCGTGGGGTTAAAAATCAGAGCAGGACCCCCACTGGGTGTGCATGCTTGCTGGGTTGTGAGTGGCTTTGCAGTAGGTGGTGGTGGTGTGTGCCTTTAACCCCAGCACTCCGGAGGCTGAGACAGGTGGATCTCTGTGACTTTGAAGCCAGCCTGGAGCATGGTCTATACAGAGTTAGTTCCAGGATGGCCAGTGCTACACAGAGAAACCCTGTCTCAAAACAAAACAAAACAAAACAGAAAAATAAAGGTGGCTTTTGCACCTTTCTGCAGAAGTAAAACTTTCTGCTTTAACAGAATGCTTTGGATTAGGTAATTATTATCAAGGAGACCCCAACGTCATATATAACAACGAGAGAGAAGCCCACAGCCCAGGCAAAGGTACCACTGCAGAATGATTCACAAAAGGACAACAGCTCATGACTGAGCAGGCAAGTAGAGCCCAGGTTTGACTGTGACCAAGATGAAGGAGAAGCAGCAGTACCCATATCACCCAAAAACAAAATAAGCAATAAGCTAAGGCTTGCCAATCATGTGGCTGTCCTCTCCTCCCCAGAAAGGGGCCTCAGCACCCTGCACCCCAGATGTCTCACTTGAACACACAGAAGTATGGCATCTGGGAAAACCACCTGCTCAGAGATGTGACTCAGGAACACTCCAAGCAGTCACACAGCTACTCAGCTAGACACAGCAGCTGCCCAAGGGATAACCCTAACATGCAAAGATCCCCCCAGGATACAGCAAGGGAACGGAGCATACTTACAACACAGACACACACGCACATGCACAGACACACACCCACACACGCGTGCGCACACACACAACACACACGCACGCACGCACACACACACACCCCTACTTATTGGAGAGCCCACTCAACTAGCCACTTGGGGGTCTTGGCCAGGATGGAGGCAGGCAAGATCTAATCAACTCTGATGTCAAGACCTACATCTCCAGCAATCCAGCCCAAGAGGAGGAGTCACACACACCCCTACCCAGGTCACTGGGCAGGCCTGTTACTTCCTGAATTATTCCCAGCATCCTCTACTACAAACATATGGCAGCTGACAATATTCTTACCTCACGTCCCAAGCCACGTATAGGTTCTCTGACCCGGAGCACATCCATCCTGGTCTACACGTCTCTAACCCCATCATCCTTCACACACAGCCTACTCTGCACACCACGGCAGGGCTTGGCCATCCTTCGACCTTCCTCCCTTGTAACATTAAGAAGCACCCCAGCCACTTCTGTCATGAAACCCTAGAGCAATCATTCTTAGCGGTTTCCTCTGGAACTCTCCTCCCTGCTCAGACTCTTCGCGGTAGCTGCCACTTTCCCCAGCCCCTAACCCAGTAGGATCTCAACCTTCTTAACACTGTAACCCTTTCATACATGCCGTGGTGACCCCCAACCATAAAATTATTTTTGTTGCTACTTCATGTATGCTATTATAATGAATCGTAATGTAAATAGCGTGTTTTCTAATGGTCTGAGGTAAGCCCTGTGAAAGGGTTATTCCTCAACTCCCAAGGGGTCATGACCCATAGGTTAAGAACCATTGCACTAGCCCCTCTCCAGCCTCCTGCGAGACTGACCACACACTTCAGTGTGCCAGAATCTTACTCGTGAATGAATCTAAACCCTACTTTCAAGGCCTGTGATGGGTGTCAAGAGTTACAGGCACAGCTACGACACTCGTGAGCATCAAGGCTTTTGGGAGGTGAGGCCAGAACTTACTACAAAGGACCCAGCCTCCAAGCAAAACACTAGGGACGGGTCAAGGCCTACAGGATCCAAGGACTCACTCACCAGGATAAGATGCTTGGTGCCTGGCACAGGTACAGCCCACAGCAACATGTAAAGCAAGATCCTAACCTGCATAAAACACTCATACAGAGCCTCCCGGAGCTCCCTGGTCACATGACGGTGGGTCTGGGATCAGAACTGCCATGTTTATTAGCTTGCTCTGAGGTGAGGCACATTCATTACCCACACCCAATAGTATAAGAAGATATGAAACCAAAGTTGTCAAAATTCCCACCTCTAAGCCTACAGGAAGTTTCAAAAATAAAGATTTATAAAGTGGCCATACCTGTCTCCCCACGTTCTCCTGGAAGGCAGCCTAAGGAGCAAAAAGAACAAACAGAGCAGGTGAGTGAGGTTTGCTTCAGCTCAACATCAGAAGATAAATTCAAAACAAACACAGCTCAGTGTAAATGACCCATGGCTTTACTTTTTAAATAAAAGTCCTCTTTGTTAGCGGACCAAAGCCCTGAGGGTGGTTTGTCACTGTTTTTGTGTCCTGGTCCTCTTTAAAACCACAGTTGAAGAATTCCATTTACAAAATCAAATATAATAAGAGATTGGCCTTTCCCTGGAAATACACTTTCACACTAACACCCCAACGAAGGTCCCAGAGGACAAACAACCCTGAGAACAAACTCCACGATCACCACTCCCCACCATCCCCAACACCTCAGGGTTGCCTCCTAGAGGGAGCACGCCTGACTCCAACCAGCTCTGGACTACTGGAGTCCTACATGCCAGGCACAGAATCGGGGATGAAAATGCTCCATGTGAACTTGAACAAAATTAGGTACCCCCAGGTAAACCTTGTTCAGGTGACTCCTCTTTCTTTGGAGACAACTTTTCCTGTCTCGCACATTGTCCTACCTAGGACTGTCTGAACAAAGTGACAATGAAACCTCATGCGACTTCCCCGAAGCATCCACAGCTGAGTTCCAACCAGGATTAGAGACCCTAGGGAGCTGGAGCAAAGCCGCACACAACCATGCGACATGCACCATCCTGGCAAGCAGAGGTGAGAACAGATACAGGGGGAGGGCAGTGGTGGGCAGAAGAAACATCCCTTACCTAAGGAGACATTGCAGCGTGGGGTAGGGGGTTGAGAGCAAGCAGAGATGTACAGAAAGAGAACTGAGTCATGGGACCCCAGAATCTATGCATCAACCCCACTGGACTGGTAAACACCAGGACAGAAATGTGGAACAACTCCAGGACAGAGCCTCATGGCAGGGTGGAGACACTCGGTGACTGGCCCTCAGGTGGCTCTCACACGCTTCTAAAATGGGAAAGGAGCTGCTTTTTAATGCTGGCCTTTTTGTAATTTCTGCAAACTGCTCCCCTTGAAGAGTTACTATATATATATATATGAGTGTTTCATCTGCCTGTGTGTATGCGTATCACACACATGCCGAGTGCCCAGGGAGGTCAGAAGCTGGACCCCCCAGAACATTGTTAGGGGCGGTTGTGAGCTACTGTGTGGGTGCTGAGAATCAAAGCGGGGTTCTCTGGCAGAGCAGCTACTGCTCCAGCTCCTTACAGTCAATTCTTTTTCCTTTATTGGGGGGTAGGGGATTGTTGCTTTTTCTTTTTGTTTTTGTTTTCTTGAGACAGGGTTTCTCTGTGTAGTCCTGCCTGTCCTGGAACTTGCTCGGTAGACCAGGCTGGCCTCGAACTCAAAAAGTCCACCTGCCTCTGCCTCCGAGTGCTGGGATTAAAGGCGTGCACCACCACTACCCAGCTGTCAATTCTTAAAGAAAGAAAGAAACACAGGAAAAGGGTAATGTAAAGAGATGCAGTGTCACCTTAATTATAAGCAGGGACATCTCCACACAGGTAAGAACTAATTCAAGATTTATGTGGAAACCATCTTGAAAATAAAAGATTAGGGGATCACCCAACACAATATGAAGACAGACCACGTGGATATCACTTCAGAATATACGCTCAGCTCAGACAGAAAACAGAAGAATGCTGGGACAGGGTCAAGTGGCTAGCAGCCTTAATACTGAAAGCATACACCAAAGAAAGATAAATAAGACAAAAACCTCACTCCAATAGCAAACTCCTGTCCATGGAGACGCTAAGAGAAGGATGAAAACAACCACAGACTAGGGATCTGCAACACACATCTCCAATATAAAGACCAAAAATCTAGAATGCATAAAGATCTCTCAAAACTCAACAGTGAGGACTAACAATACAATCAGACAATGACTGAGACTTGAGAATACATCTTACTCAGGTGGACACAGAAAGCAAATGAGCACCCCAAACAGACTCAGTATCATCAGAGAAAAGGAAACTAAAACCACACACATATCAGCAAAAAGTAAGAGCAGGAAGAAACCAGGCAACCCCACCACGTCTCGGCAAAGATGAGGAGAACACATTATAGTACAGTCGCCCTGGGGAACAGTTAGCAGCATACTGGAAGATGGGACCCAGAAACTGTACTCCAGGCATACACCCTAAGAAACAGAAACTGTGCACACACAATCTGTAGGAAAGCGCTCATAATAATCCTGGGTCAGCAGCAACCCAAATGCCCGTTTACAAGTAAAGCCAAGACTCGGTTAGAGAACAAACCCACTCACAGTAGAAGGTGAAGACCAGGAATTTCCCAACGTACTAGACACACTCAGTGAGAAGACCAGACCCAAAGGCTGCTACTTCAGCAACAGAACAGCACTACAAAGCTGGAAAGGTAGACTGAAGATTGCTAGCAGTGAAGAGAGAAGCAGCCATGTTTAAAAGGATCACGCAGGGACCTCTGTGGTGATGACTACCGTGTGCCTTAACTGTAGGGGGTTCACATATGTATGAGATGCAGACATACGAAGCTAACCACACACACAGGACACAGAACACCAAGAGTTCTGACTGAGACTACTGAGTTGGTAGACATAACCTATGATGTTACCCAGTAGAGACCTGAGGAAAAGGGTTAGCAGACTTTACTGTATTCTCACAACTCTACGTGAACCTCAAGAATATCAAAATAAAAGGCAAAAAAATAATACAAGAAACAATTGGAATGAAACATTAAATAAAATACTGGGTGAAAGTCTCTCTCTCTCTCTCTCCTCTCGCCTCCCCCTTTCCATCCCCCCTCTCTCTCCCCCTCTCCCCTGTCCTCGCCCCCCCCCCATTTCCTCTCCACTCCTCATCCCAAATTTCCCAAGAGGGCCACACCCACTGCCTGTCCTCAGGAGAGGAACAGGCCTCTTCGCAAAGTCAGCAGCACATCTAGCCTGCTGGACACTATCTAGCATGCAAAACCTGGAGTAGTTAGCAATCTGTAACTGATCCTTTCCACCAAGCAATGCCAGGACTCTACTGTCTAGCCCCTGCATGCTGACCACCAGAGAGAGCCGGCAACAGGAAGCTCTCATGAGGATCCAAATCAAAGGCCCTGTTGCCTTAGAAGGACTGTGGCCACCAGACAAGGGACCCAGGAAGAGGAGAGGGGTCACCAACAACAGTTGCAAGGTAAGGCCACAGAACTGGCAATGTCTGGCCACTTCACTTCTCACACCTCCTGGATCCTGGCCAGGTAAACAGACATCTCACACACCCAGAAAGAGAAACCCTGGAAAGGCGTCGGCCAAGAGGCTGAAGCAGCACCCAGAGCAGCGGCTGCCTGAAGAAGCAGCTTCCTGGAAAGAAGTTCTTAGTGCACTCAGAACCTTTATGTCTTCAAATGGGCCTCAAGTGTAGGCATCCTTCATTTCCCTGTGTTTAAATCCTACATCACTAGATAAACAGCGCTGGACTCAAAAGGAACACAAGGAACTTCTTGTTAGTTTAATAGGGTTTTAGCTTCAAGAAAAAACAAACGAATTTACAGAGTTTTATTTCACCTTGTCAATTACCCTCATCAACTCAGATCACGAAACCCAACATGGACAAGTTCAACAGAAACACCTGGGTGAAAGCCCCAGGACCTGACCGGGGCCCAGTACCTCTATGTCCTAAGCGCAGGACAGGTGCTTCTTCTTTCTTAAAGCCAAAAGCGGGGAGGGAAGCTAACAGAAATGGACAGGAAAGACACTTCCTCACGCCAAAAAGAGTCACCACAACAGGGCCCTGTAGCATGAGAACACTAAACACAGTCGGGGGAGCCAGCTTGCTCAAGCATGAGCTCAGTCAGTTCAGGTGGGATGTCGCATTGGACAGGAACACAAGAACCTGTAGTAAACTGATACAAGATTATCAACTCAGGTGGAGGGGAAAACACACAGCAGGTGTAGCATTGGTGCTATCCAGTTTGGCCCAAAAATGCTTGCTCGGGTACAGACCTGTAAGTGACCGAATGGTATCAGCCAGATTTCAGACAATGACACAACCAGTAACTACTATACAGGCATACGCGCCAACAGCGGAAGCAGAAGATGATGTCATCAACAGTTTCTACACAGATCTACAGAACAAGGTCAGCAGGGTGCGTAAGAACGACACTAATGATTATGGGTGACTGACTTCAGTGCAAGAGTGGGATCCGGAGAAAGAAAGGACTATAGTGTTGTGGGAACATAGGGATTCGGACAAAGGAACCAGCGGGGAACGACTGCCTGACCTCTGCTATGTAACTGATTTGTACAAATCCAACCCAAAATTCAAGCAGGCCAAACCATCAAGATGCGGGACGTAGGAATCCCCTGACAAACACACATACAGCCAAGCCGACCACATTCTGGTCAGCAGGAAACTCTTATCTGGCATCTAAAACAGCTGACTTGGGGTCAGATCACCAACTTCTATGGCCAACATTCAACTCAAACCTAGGAGTGGGATGCCAGGCAAGATGACCTGCAGGATCGAACATAAACAATGGACCCAGCTGTGTGGAGAGAGCTAAGAGACTCGCTGAAAACAAGATGAGGGAAATCATTAAACAACTGTTTACAAACATAGAAAGTGAATGGAAGAAAATCAAAAGAGCTTTACAGGAGGCTTCAAGGAGATGCTTGGTTAGGCAAAAAGGGCAACACCAGTAGAATGGCTCACTACAGAGATGGTCAACCTGGCGGGAGAAGGAAACTAAAGAGCAACCCGCAGGCAGCAAACACAACTACCCGTGCGGAAGGTCAAAGAGGCAGACTCCACAATAACACATCTTGTCTGTGAAGCTATCAGACGGATAACTGCCAGATATGCTCCTCAGTTTGGGTGATTAAAGATGGGCAAGGTCATTTATTAATAGAACCAGGGGAAGTAAAGCAAAGATGGAGACAATACTTTGACACCCTGTACCATGACCCTAATGCTGTCAACGCAGACTACAACGAGAAACACTTCAGCAGACACTCAAACATCAGGGACGATGAGAAAATATTAAATATTGACAGGAGAAAGACAGAGGAAGTTATCAAGAGAGCGAAACACAGGTCCAGGAGTGGATGACATCACGGTGGAGGAGCTGGAGGCGGCTACAGTAGGCTCAGGGGCCAAGGCACTTCTCAGACTCTTCAGAGAGACACGGGAACACGAAGTGATTCCCACGGAATAGAAGCACTCAGCCATAATTCCCATACACAAGAAGGACAAGCTGGACTGCTCAAATTACAGGGGTATTAGTTTGTTGTGCCATAGCAGCAAGACCTTCCCCATCATCCTGCAAAGGATCAAGGGCAGAACAGAGGAAGTCCTAGCAGAGGCCTAGTGAGCATTCAGAGCTAACAGGAGCACAATTGATCAGATCTTCACTTTGAGGCAACTGGCAGAAAAATACCAAGAATTTGGAAAAGTCATGTCTGTTATAGCGACTTCAGGAAGGCATTTGATAGCATTTGGAAGAAAGGACTTCGGAAAACAATGAGGTTCTACAGGTACACAGAGAAAACCATAGGATACTAGAAAATGCCTATAAAGATACCTTTGCATCAGTCAAAGTCTGTGGAGAACTAAGTGGTCAGTTTAAGACAATCATAGGAGTGTTGCAGCGATGCACCCTATCCCAACACTCTTTAATATATTCCTGGAATTAATAACAGCATGAGCCCTGGAGGACGAGGAGATAGGTGTGCAGATAGGTGCTGTGAAAATCAGTAACTTGTGTTTCATCAATGATACAGCACTACTTGCTGAAAGTCCAAACAAGCTGCAGGCCATGGGAAATAGAGTGCTGGAAGTCAGAGAAAGCCTTGTATGAAAGTAAACATCGAGAAGACTGAGATGCAACACTTGGGAAGGGCGCACAAGGATTTTAACGTTGTAATAAAGAATCAGAACCTCAAGCTAATAGTCAACTTTGCCTATCTGGGAGGAAACCTCAGTTGAATGGAAGGAACTATTTTAGACAGCAAGAGGCGGAGGTAGATAGGGATAGCAAGGGCTGCATTGCAGGCACTAGGAAAAGTTTGGTCCGCAAGAGACATAACAACAACAAAATTACAAGTATATGAGATGCTTGTCTTGAGTTGCCTTCTTTACAACTCTGAAACCCAGAAAATGAAACACTTGTCAGAACAGCGGCTTCATGTGTTTGAGACAGCATGCCTCAGGAGGATACTAGACGTCACATGAAGAGACAGACTGTGTAATGTTCAGAAACATTTCCATCTGCAGAAGGAAGTAAACTACAGAATATGGCAATGGCGCTTGAGATACTTTGGCCGTGTTATGAGAATGAATGACGGCAGATACCTGAAGACAGCACTGCTTGGAAGAGTGCACAGGATAAGGCAAAGAGGAAGACTCAAAGAATGCTGGATAGTCAGCATAAAGGAAGACTGGAACCTTGGGTAGTGCAATAACAAAGGCATGTAGGACTGTCCAGGGTAGGAACAACTGGAGAGCAGCCATCAACGGGCTGGCCATGCATGCGTAAGCATTGCCGGGACATAATGATGAATGACGGTCTCACTTCATCCCAGGTCACATAAAGCCACAGGGCTTTGATTTTATTACTGTTTCCCATAAATATGTCCTAGGTCACAGAAAATAATAAAGAAAACACAAAAATACATTAGTTCAGATTTAATATAGACTTTGCCTAACAGTTAACTATGAGAGCAAGGCCACTAAGACCTCCCAAGAAAGCACTGAACCTACTAACTGCAGACAAAGTGGAGTCCCTCTGGGCTGGTGACAGTTTTAAAGGACTCTGGGCAGGCTGCTTGCATTCTGGCTGCTTCTTGGTGCAGGTGTAGGCAGAGAGCCAACAGCAGTCATGAAAGACCACAGTCGGACATCCTGAGACAGCAAGACCTCAAAGATCACCTGACCAGAACACCAGAAGCATGACCCCTTGGCTGAGATCCCATGACCAGAACACCAGAGGCATGACCCATTGGCTGAGATCCCATGACCAGTACTGAACAGCAAGGCCTTCTAAGCCCTCCATAGTAGGTCTTCACATATGAGTACCCAATATGCTGGATCCCATGCCAAACACACGGCTGATGCAGCAATGGATATATAGAACTAGGTTCAGGGCCTGCGTGCATTCCTACTGCAGTGCAGCCAGAGGTCAGGTAACAGATAGAAACTACATCACTTGGGACAGGCAACTGAAGACAGGGACCACTGTGACAGAGAAGATGAATTCAGTTGAAGCCTTTGATAACACCAAGTTACTTCACTTAACTGATGTGGGATACCTTTCTGTATATGGGTTGCTTTTATTGGATAATGAATAAAGCTGTTTCGGCAAATGGCTTAGCAGAGTAGAGTCAGGTGGGAAATCCAAACAGAACTATATTGAAAGAGAGTATGTGGAGTCAAGGAAACACCATGTAGCTGCCAAAGGAGAAGGACACGCAGGAACCTTAGGAACTTTACCAATAGGCCACAGCCTCTTGGCGATACACAGATTGATAGAAATTTAATATGTAAGAGCTAGGAATAAGCTGGAGTCGGCCAAACAGTGTTGTAATTAATATAGTTTCTATGTGATTATTCAGGTCTGGGCGGCTGGGAAAGAAAGAACGGTCTCCGTTTACACTTAACAACACAGAAGACTTGACCTGAGAAACAAGGAAGGTGGGCAACTCTTTAATCAGTAAAAACAAAAGCAAACAGTGGAAATTTTTCAAAAAAAAAAAAATGCCTAGATAGGTTCTTCAAATACTACCAAATAATTAAAGTAGAAAAACATCAATCTCTTAAAAATTATGGTACAAAATAAAAGAGAAATACTTCTGCACCCTCAATGTGTTAGTTCATCTTCAGTCAAACTGCAGACAAAAATACCTGAACAAAAGATTAATAACCCCCATGAACAGATTCAGAAATTCTTTTTCTGAGAACACTAACAACATAAAGAAGGGCCTACACGTGAGTGGAAATTACACTAGAAAGGAAAGGTTATTTCAAAGTCTGAAAAGGAACCACACAGTGTACCACATAAAAAGACACAAGCCAAAGACTACTTGATTACATCAAAGTCGAATACCTATTCATGATTTTAAAACATGAATAAAATGAAAGAAGCTACAGGAAAGAACTTCTCAGCCTGCTAAACAGGAAGCCCCTGCTGACATGCAGAGCCGGGTAAGTCTCCCTTTTCCTCAGTTCCATGACTTCAGAGGTCTCCTCTCCGTCCTACTCTAAGGCCCGGCTCCTATCCCACAGAACACATCTGCAACACTGCCAACTCAATCTCAGGCCTCCCACAGTTTGGAGATTTCATTGGTACTAACAAATCCCACCCACATCTGCAACACTGCCAACTCAATCACAGGCCTCCCATGGTATGGAGATCTCATTGGTACTAACAAATCCCACCCACATCTGCAACACTGCCTACTCAATCTCAGGCCTCCCACAGTTTGGAGACCTCATTGGCGCTAACCGACCCCCTGTGCACCAGCACCCTCCCTTTCCCTTAGTCTCAGAGCAGCCGCAGTCAAATGCTACTCAATCTGTCTCTATGAGAATGCAGAGCCTCAGAGCTCAAAACATGGGAACTTCCAAATCCACACACCTCACAACAAACACCACAGGCTTCACCTATGTTTCTGAGCACCCCAAATGTGTTCAACTGCTGGCCCATCCATGAAAGGAAGGCTCGGGTTCAGACTGCTAAGACACCACAGCGCTCCTGACAGAGCCTGGATCAGCTGTGGCCTCCCACAGCACTCACAGACCTGGCCTCAGTAACTGACCACAGCGGCCAGTTATGTGTGGAGTCAGCTAGAACTGCAACATCCCCACGCGGGCAACATCTCAGTCTCTTCCCCTTGTAATTCATGAGACTTTGGTCTCATCAATGGCCCTAGTCAACACCCCTATTGACACAATCTACCCAAACCCACCCCAAAAAGCTGATCTCACGGGACCTGGGTAACTGAGCTCAAAACACAAGGCCCACGGTCAGCTATGAGGCCAAAGCCCACCCAAGGAGATCCATTCCGATGTGGCCAGGAAAGCAGAGCTAAACGCAGCTTAGTAACAGCTCTTCCTGAAGCATAAACCTGCAGTGCCCTGTTCTGTCATTCCTGGACCAGTCCTGCCAGGCCATTTAGGGTAGAGTCACAGGATAAATTTCTCTTCCCCTGCAGAGCCGGAGCCACCCTGAACTTGGTCTGGGTAACGAACAGAAACCTGTTCACCCGTACTTGTTCAAGATATTTCACCACAGCTGGCTGTGGCTCTCTTGGCAGCACTAGATGGAGGCCTTGAGCCCTGACTTCCCCGTGAATTCCACAGTAAAAGCCCTACAAATGTTACTGTGGTGACTGCTTTACTGGGCTCTTTCCTCTGATCTCCTTTGCCCAGGGGAATGGGTTTTCCAGGGGGACAGAGGCCCACCTGCAGGACATTAGCCACAGTTACACCCCCAGCTCCAGGAAAGGAATGCTCCGGGGACAACGGAACTTACAGAGGCAGCTCTTCTGCAGTTCACGTTTCGGTCAAAGATGGCGGCAATGACCAGCGCACTGTAAAAACAAGGAAAATGGTTAATTAAAATGAAATATGCAAGGGCTGGGAAAATAACTCAGTCAATAAACTGCTTGTCTTGCATGAGATCCCTCATAAAATGTTGGTGAGGCAGTGCATGCTAATAACCCCAGCCAGTCTAGCCTAACGGCTGAACACCAGGCCCACAGGAGACTCTGTCTTAAAGGAGTGGACAGAACTCCTGTTGATGACACCAAGCTTGTTTTCGGCCCTCCACATGCATAGGAAGGGGCACAGACCATGTGACATCCTCCCGCTGTTCACTTGCTGAGTGAGCCTCTCGGACAGCGACAGCGGGAAGCTCAAGGTTCCTAGAGTGACCTCGAAGATAGCAAGAGTTATAGCCCCAGCCCTAACAAATGTCCTGAGCCTCTAGTACCTTGGAGAAAAATGTCTTTGCCCTCCTGGGATCACATGCGCTCGACAAAATGCAAAGACAAATGGTGCCAGAGGATAAGACTTGACAGCAGACAGACAAACGGTCACAAGTGCATGGCTGACACTACCTCCTCCACACACTAACAGCAAGCCAGAGCTCCATGCGCCCTGCAGGCAGCCTGCCCCTGGGAAGCACCCAACCTTATGGCTTCCACAGTGCTCACAGGCCTCAACCCAGTGTTAGGCACAATGGAGCGAGCACTGTCTGTATCATTAGATGAAGTCAACGGGACGGAGACCAAGACTGGATCTTCTGGTGATCCTCATGCAAGAAGGCCACCACTACACACAGCCTCCTGACCTCAGACCCAGGCCACAAGTCAAAATAAGCCTTTTCTTTACAAAGTAGTGTCCTTCAAGTATTTGATATAGCAATGAGTGAGCTGATAACAGGCAGTCAGCCGATTACAGCAGTCACCACAGAAACTAAGTCTCAACTTTTTCTAGAGCCAGAAGCAATACCACCACACCAAACCAACTTTCCCCAGGCTCTCGTGACACCCAACAGGTTTTAACTAAGTCTTTTTCTTATATAACAAACTTTATTACTGTCAGAATCTAGAGAGTCCTTGCTCCTCCACATCTCGTGTCTCTCACCTCTCCTGCAGTCATCAGTTACTGCCATGGGTCCGATCCTCAAGGGGAACCCTTCTCAGGGAAGCATTTCCCCATCTAGGATTTCTCTCCTTGGTCCAGGAGAAGCCCCAGGGATATTCTCAGGAAACAGCAAGGTGCGAGACCTATGGATCAAGGACCAGCCAAGTATGTCTTTCTCGACCTCATTCTCAACTTTCCCAACCATGTAGTGGGCATGCAGTGAGCATGTAGTGAGCATGTAGTGAGCATGCAGTGAGCATGCAGTGAGCATGTAGTGGGCATGTAGTGAGCATGCAGTGGGCATGCAGTGAGCATGTAGTGGGCATGTAGTGGGCATGCAGTGGGCATGCAGTGAGCATGTAGTGGGCATGTAGTGGGCATGTAGTGGGCATGCAGTGAGCATGCAGTGGGAATGTAGTGGGCATGCAGTGAGCATGTAGTAGGCATGTAGTAGGCATGTAGTGGGCATGCAGTGAGCATGCAGTGGGCATGCAGTGAGCATGTAGTGGGCATGTAGTGGGCATGCAGTGGGCATGCAGTGAGCATGTAGTGGGAATGTAGTGGGCATGCAGTGAGCATGCAGTGAGCGAGGCTGACCTGAGCTTTAGCTTCAATGTTTTACTTCCTTCCTCCTAGGGACAAGGCTGTACCCAATTCACCTTTTTCCTAAAACACTTTCTACAGGTTACTAGGTAACTTTACAGCTGCAGATGAGACCTGATAAGGTGGTAGAGTTAGGGGAACCCCTACTAGGGCCTTCTCCCAACTCCACTTGTCCTTCTCAGGTGTGTGGGAGGCCAAGGGAGTACTGCACACGTAAATGAAGGCATCTCTCCTGTGCTCAGCACCAACACAAGAAGCCCCAAGTAGCAGCTCCTCCCATGGGGACCATATCCAGTGGGAGAAGCTGCAGCAGGCCTGCCCAACAATTTTCCTTATGGGGCCATCCTTCCCACAATCACCTTGACAGGTCTGTGTGCTCACAAAAGCCCCAGTTACCACGCTCCTCAGAGCACAGGAATATTTCAACTATTCTTCTCAAGGCAGCGAGTTTGCTGGTGACCGTCCTCTTGGTCTCTGACAGTGAACATACACAGGCTGTTCCATACAGACCTCTCCAAGGTGTGAGCAAGTAAAATGAGCCATAAGTCAGAAGGACTGGGACATGGAGTCCATTACAGGACTCTCATCAGAGGAAACCCATGTGCAGCAGGTATCAGAAGCCATGAGAAGCAACAGCCTCCTACACTACCATCAAGTTAGCTTTTCCTTGAGCATTAAATGCCTTAAAAGTCACTGCTTCATTGACAGTCTTTCTTTCTGTAGCCCAGGTGAGCCTTGAACTCATGGTGAGTCTCCTGCCTTAGCCTCTCAAGTGCTATGATTATAGGCATGAATCAGAATTTACATGTTTCATAAAACTTGAGATTATACTGAAGTAGATGTAACAATAGTTGGAAAATGCTGCTTTGTAAGTAACACCTTCAGGTTAACTAAAACAAATTTGCATGCACTTACGAGTAAAGGTGTTTAAACACTTTAATCTGGGCTAAAATCTTTTTTTAACTTTTTATTCATTTGTGTGTTTGTGTGTGTGTCTGCTTGTGTCTGTGTATCACCTGTGTGCTGAGCCTGAAGAAGCCAGAAGAGGGCTTCAGATTCCCTGGGACTACAGTCACAGTTGTGAGCTACCACGTGAAGGCCAGGAATTAACTCAAGTCCTCTAGAGGAGCAGCCAGTACTTTTGTCCACTGAGCCACTCTCCAGCTCCGGATTAGCTTCCTTAAAACTGTTTTCCTAACTTTAGAACAAGACTGCAGTATTTAAATATACGAAGATGTTTCAAGAGCAAAGGGTTAGGAAATCACCTTCCTACATCACTGTCTTCATGCGTACTAACCTCCGCCTGGGCCCCAGTCATCCTCGGCAGGGTGACCCTGTGTGAATGTCACTACAACACCTGGCACCCACGGTGAAACCCACCATCTGAGAGAAGTGCTGGTGGGTATGCCCACCTGCCTGACTTCCCTGGGGAAGCTGTGTGACAGCTCACCAGGATTCACCGGGAAGGGACCCTTTTTCAGGCCAAGGGAAAGTGGCATGCCTCAGCCTGCTTCTCTGCTTTCCCACAGTCTTATCCCTCAGTTCAGCATGTGCCGTGAGAACAGCATTTACCCCAAACTCATCTTTTTTTCATTTGTATGATACTATGTAGCACTCAAAAGCAAGCATACTTGCGGCTACCTGGCAAATGATGGCACTTCCATACTGACGCAGAGAAGACTAATAATAATTCATCGTCCATCTGTGGCTTTTTAAGTTGTAAATTGCATTAAAATATAAGCCCTGTGTTTAATTGAATTTCCCTAAGCCGTAAGCAGAAGGTTCATGTACTCTGGGGTCACAGCCTGATTGCTGCCCCGTCCTGGCTACAGCAGCTTTCCCTTCTCTGAGAGCTGGGCCATTCAGAGGCGGAGGAGACCAAGACATAGCTTTGAGCAATGCTTGCTATTTCCTGATTTTTTTTTTTTTCCAGGACAATCTTGCCCTGGAGGAAGAGATCCTCCAGAGCCAATCCCAGGCAGTTCACAGGCAGCCCACGCTGCCTGGCCGGTTTGCACAGTGGAGGTGAGAGTCAGGAGCTGCCCCTGGCATGGGCGGGCCTGTGCCTGGGCGGAGTGAACGTCAACAGGAGCTCAGCTTACAAAAGAGTTTCAGGTGAGGCAATCACTAGAAGGTGACAGGCAGAGCACCCTGGCAGCGGCAGCAGGTTTGCTTTCTTTGCTTCCTGTAGATCAGATCCTGACTTTGGTTAGAAAGACTCATCTAGGTGATAGACAGCCATCCCAGTGCATTTTCGCTACACATCTTGCTGCCACTGCACTGGGGTTGTCAGGAAGCCAGGTGTGTGGCACAGAACAGCCAGACCTTCTCCACCTGTGTTTGCTCAAAGCCAAGGAAAGATGGTTTTCAGAGTCGATCAAAACTATTTCAAAACGATAAAAATTTGCCCTTAACATTTTCAAAGCAGAGTCAGCACTGGGAGGGGGAAGAACAACTGATCCTGCTTCTTCGGCCAAGCTTAGAAAGGGTTAGTGGCTACCTCTGTATCGGGCACCAAGGCCTCCCTGGTTCTTTCTGACAGATGTTTCTGTTTATTCTGGGAACTATATTTGGATCTCAACTGCACTTTTACAGGATACACGGAGGGGTTTGTGAAAGTAAAGATACCAAGATTTTATCATGTGCTGGAATTAATGGGCTTAAAACCTGATAATTAAAGAGCATGGTCACCCATGACAAACCTTGCAAGCAAGTCTGCAGGGCACACCCGACCGATACTCAGACACAGAGCTTCAGGCGGGAGGTAGTGCATGCCCCAAGCTCACTGGCGCACCTGACTCACCAGGTGCCCTCCCCCACTGATGCCTGGAGTCAGATGGGCCAGAAAGGGCCAGGCACAAGTTGCTCAGAACCTGTCTGACCGGCTAGAAACCTGCAGCAGCTCAGCTCCAAAGGGCACTGTTGCCCATGAGAGGCAGGTGTGGGCAAAGGAGCCAGAGAAGCCTTCTCAGAAGAAACTCCAGAGCAGCTGACTGCCAGCTTAGGAGAAGCAGGAGGCTGTGAGAGAGACAGCCAGCAGTCCTGAGGCCAGACGGCTGAAGTTTCCATGTGGAACACACAGGCATGAGCTCCTCATCAACCCCTCGGGCTTTTCCCACATGTCAGCAAGTCCAACCTCTCCTAGGCCCAAGAAACACAAGAGTTTCTAAAGACTACAGCTAGACACGGCTGCATACCAACTACTCCCGGGCCAGGAAAGTTAGGTCATTCCAGAGACTGAGCTGTGGGTAAAGCTAAGGCCACTTCTGTGCTCACCCAGAGTCCCGACAGAAGCAGCGTTCTCCACACCACACCCAAAATCTCAACCCAACAGGAAGAGGACCTCACATCTCCCCATGGGACACCTCACACTCAGCAACCGCAGTCCACACAAGCTCTGGAAAGGTCACGCTCAATCTGGCCACCTTCGAGTGTGCATCAGTGTACATTTTTTCCTGAGAATGAAAAGGGGATGGAACGCTGAGGAGGAGACAGGTGCAGCACTAGGTGTGACCCTGACCAGGCACTGGTGAACTGCCAGGAGACTGAAGGATGGGAGGGACCCTTTTCTTCCCTGAGCAGGAAAGGACAACCCCGAAACAAAAGGTCCCGAGTTCCTTTAGCAGCTATGGAAGCTGCTCACCGTACTGTTCTGTGTGTGAGAGAAGCTAGGGTTAGAGAAGACAGGACAGAGCCCAAAGCTCCACCTGCAGCCACAACACCAGGTCACAGCAGCCGACTTCAGGGCTGCCTCATGCCTATCAGCCATGTTTTCCAAAGACTGCTCATGTCCTTTACAAAGCCCACCCGGAGCTCAATGGGGCTGTGGCAGAGTCCTACAACACTAAGTGAAGACAGGCGCTCTGGTGGGAACTGGGTAACTCTGGCTTTTCACTCTGGACCAGGTGCCCCACGGGGCCCCCAATCATGAGGAAGCTGACTGGAACCTCTCATTTGTACCTCTTACCTTCAGAAGGCAGCAGCATGGCCTTGGTACCCACATTTAACAGAAGAGAATGGGAAGATAGCCACGCACTGCCTCTCCACATGGCTACATGCTCCCAAGCCAGCAGGCCAGCACCCATTGGCATCACTCCGATTCCTCCATCAGGCCATCCTGCCTTCCTACCTCCTGGATCAGGAGAGGTGGAAGGGCATGGCATAGCATTCTGTAAGTCTGCTGCTCTTCTGATCAAAACTGTTCAACTAAGTGGGATCTGTAAGGACTGTTTTCACTTCGAAGCAGGAGGCTCCTGCACATCAAAGCCAAGGTCCCTCCCAGTCCTTCACAATCTGGCGTTCATCAGTGCCATGACAGGGTCACACCTGGCTCGCACCTATCTCCTGCTTAAGGCTCTATCCTCTTTTCATCCTCAGGAAAAAACTGGGCAATGACCACAGCTAGCCACCTGAGAGAGCCCTGTGGAGCTAAGCAAGAGGACATCAATCTGAAGAAGCTGCCCGGCTCTGGGACAGTTGAGCACAGGGGAAAACCTTTTTTCTACTTATACTGTATACTGCCAGAAATTTGAAGAAAAGGACAAGAAAGCAGTTGCAAGAACCTCCTTCAAAGCCACATAAACAGCAAAGAGAGGTCACATCTGTATGGCAGTCGGGTAGGAAGCAGAGAGGTCACCACCATGGATAGGGCCCAAAGCTCAGCAGAAGACCTTGGACAGCTGGGCTCCTGCAAGCTTCCTGACAATCCTGCTTAGGTCATGTTCCCCGTGAGCTGTGCACCTGGGCTCCTGCAAGCTTCCTGGTAATCCTGCTTACGTCATGTTCCTATGAGTGGTACACCGTCAGTATGTGCTTATGCCCCATAAAATGATGCAGGTCCTGAGATGCTCCTTTCTGATAGCAGGGAGTTCCAATTGAGATGTCCAGGAGGAATATTCTGGAGGTGTGCCTTAGAATGAGGTGAGGGGGTGAGTAGCACCATGGGGATGATACTTGGGGTCCAGGCTCACACTTTCAGAGTTCTGGAATGTAGAAATATCTGTTTTTTTTTTCTGAGGCTGATTTTGTCTGTCCTGATTTCCTAAGTTGTGTGACTTGCACTTTGTTTCAGCAACTTGTGATATAAACAGTATCGGAGACCTCTGTGAAGCACGGAAGCACCCTTAGAAGAGGAGTGACGGGTGCTGGGTCACCAGACTCCAGTACCTCTGGCCATGGAAGAGTACAGTCCAACGTGCAGGGGTAGTAGCTTGGGTCTGTAGGCTCTAAATACGAGTTTAGTGGCTTCTGGAGCTCCATGCCTCTGGGATAGTACCAGGGCTTTTCTGCCTGACTTTCAGTATTTTTTTTTCTTTTTCCTATCCCTTTGAAAGATGCAGGACAAATGGGTCCTCAGTACAAGTGTCTCTTCAGTTTTGAGCAGCAATTGGCACATAACACTGGGGTGGGAGGGGGAACCAACTTTCTTTGAGTTTGAGCTTCATTCTGTTCCTTTCTGAGAAGTCAAGGGAGGATGCCAAGCAGCTCATTGTATTTATCATGGTGTGAACATCATAATGGGTCCTCTCTGTCGAAGTCTATTCATGCTCACTAGGACAAGGCCTATGGTTTGCTCTATCCTCAGCACACTGTGGGACAGCTGCTAGAGGCTCCAGAGTCACTAGCAGAAGGGGTTCCATGGTATTCTAGTGACTGAGCTTTACTCGGTTTCATGGCATCTCCCTGAAGTGGGATCCAGAACCCATTTGTTTTCCTGGACAGTGGTGCTTGGAACCCTATCTCCCCACCCAGCAGATCCTGCCCCTGTTGTAAGGAGGCCGCTTGTTGGTTTCCAGCTGCTTAGCCCCTAAATAATCACACAGAAACTGCTTGGTCCACTAGCTCTAGCATCTTATTGGCTTACTCTTACATCTTAATTTAACCCATCTCCATTAATCTGTGCATCACCACGAGGTCGTGGCCTATCAGCAAAGGCCTACCAGCAAAGTTCCATCGGACTCCGTAGGGCTACATTGCTTCTCTCTGACTCTGCCCTCTTTCTCCCAGCATTCAGCCTAGCTTTCCCTGCCTAGTTCTGTTCTGCCCTGTCATAGGCTCAAAGCAGTTCTTTATTAATCAATGGTAATCATAGCACACAGAGGGAAATCCCACATCATGTCCCAGTCCACAAGATTCCAGCAATGCTGGGACTGGCAGGTAGTTGTTGAGAACGGGTTATCTGAGGAGAGACGTTCAAGGCAGATGGGACGTTTGCCTGAGGTAAATCTCCTTCATGTCACCATCACCCCTCAGCACAACCAACAGGCTTTACCTGGAAATGGCAGTCACGAAAGGAGTCAACTCCTGAGGCTCATAGGCGCGTGCGAAAGCCCAGCACACGTAGCAGGCGGCATCCCTGACGTTGGCACCCACGCTGCAGGCGCCCCGCTTCTCTTCGTAGGTCAGTGCCTTCAGGATCACTGTGACAACTGGCAGAAGACAAAAGCAAAGAGCAGCTGGTGGCACATCATGAGGCAGGGTCAGAGACAGGCCACGCACAGGCCTACGAGAATCAAAACCTGTCAATCGCACCACGTGTACTCATCTATGTTCATAGCAGCAACCTGGAAACAACCTAGATGCCCTGCGACCAAAGAATGGATAAGGAAAATGTGGTACATTTACAAAATGGAGTACTACACAGCAGAAAAAAATGACATCTTGAAATTTGCAGGCAAATAAATGGAGCTAGAAAACTCATATTGAGTGAGGTAACCCAGACCCAGAAAGACAAATATCATACCTACTCACAATAAGTGGTTTTTAGACATAAAGCAAAGAAAACCAGTCTACAATTCACAATCCCAGAGAACCTAGACAACAAAGAGGACCTTAAGAGAGGCATACGTGGATCTAATGTACATGGGAAGTAGAAAAAGACAAGATCTCCTGAGTAAATTGGGAGCATGGGGGCCATGGGACAGGGTAGAAGGGGAGGGGAGAGAAAGAGAGGGGAGCAGAGAAAAATGTATAGCTCAATAAAATCAATTTAAAAAATGAAAAAAGAAAAAAACCAAAATCTGCTCAGAACAAACCCCTGAAATGAAAGAAGTCTACCAGCTCAAAGGCAAAGAGGTATTTTTGAGATTCCTAAGAATCACACAAAGAAATGATGGTTCTTCAAAGCAATAACCACAACCAGGCTCCCAAGTTTGTGGCCATACCAAGAGCATGCAAATCTCAGAAGCTCACACCAGGATAGAAAGGGTCATGCATTTATGGAGAGTGATGGTGACTCCCACAAGTGAGGCAGAAGGATGTGAAGCCACAGGACAAGATTTCAACAACCTCAGGAAAGGGTGGAGACACCACAGAGCCTGGACCAGAGAGGGGCCCTGGAAGTCCCAGGGCTGAGGATCCAGACACAGAAGCCAGTCCTAGTGGTCCTGTGTGCATAGGATTATCTGTTTCACCATCTGAAACGTCTATAGTAGCCAAGAGATAAAGACACATGAATTCTTCTTCTGGTTCTGGTGGAAATATTCAACCAAGTAACTGATATACATGCACACACAGAGACAGAGTAAGAGACGTACATACATACGGACGGACAGACACACACACACAGCAGTTGATATAAGGAGGTGAGAGCATTTTAAGATGTGTTCAAGAATGCTGGAACATTAAATTTATAGCATTCCTGGGTATTTTCTTCAAGGACCTAGGTTAACATATCACAAAGATACTTGTTTATCAACGTTTTTTGTTTTGTTTTATATGAGACAGGGTCTCACTGTGTAGCCCTAGTTGGCCTGGAACTTGCTATGTAGATCAAGTTAGGCTAGCCTACCTCAGTTTCACAACTGCTGGGATTAAAGGTGTCTGGCACCATGTCCAGCACATTCATCAATGTTTATTTGCAGCGCTGTCCAAAACAGCTAAGTTATAGAACCAACCTGGGTATTCTTCAAGGGAAGAACTGATAAGGAAAATTATACTGTGCACAACAGTCATATGCCCACAAATAATTGATTAAATAAGGACTGAGGAAACAGCTCAGTCAATAAAGTGCTTGCCATCAACACTGAGGAACTAAGTTCAGATCCCCAGTCCACACGTAAAAAGCCAGGCATAGTGTCTCACACTTGTAACCCTAGCACTGGAGAGGCCAGGATAAGAGGACTTGCTGGACAGCTAATCTCGTCAAATAGGTGCAATTCCAGACCGCCCTTAATTCCAGTACCTAAAAGGCAGAAGCAAGCGAATCTCTGTGAGTTCAAGAACAGTCTGGTCTACAGAGCAAGTTCCAGGACAGCCATGGCAACATAGAGAAACTGTCTTGGAAAACAAACAAACAAAAAACAAAATAAATAGAGAAGACACCCAAAATTGACCTCTGGCCTCCACAAAAACACATAATGTGTGCACAGGCACACATACACACACATACACACACCACACAAAAAATAATAAAAACAAATGTTACTGTATCTGTTCTGTGTATTCATGTATTTGTGAAGAGTTGCCTATTAAAGATTGAACGCTTCTTAAAGGTTAAACATTATATTTACTGAATCATGTAAGAAATGTATTTACTGTGTGTAGGAGGGTTGTGGATGGGTACACGAGTGCCGTGCACGTGTGGAGGGCAGAGGACAACCTTCAGAATTAGTTCTCTCCTTCCACCACGTGAGGTCCATGGAGCAAACTCTGGTTGTCAGGGCTGATAGTAAATGCCTTTATCTAAGCCACCCCAACAGTCCGGAATTTAATAAGAAGACTGAGAGTTCATTTTTAAAAGACTCTTAAAAGTGGTAATGGAAAATGCGACAGAGAAAAACTTAAGAAAAAACTTGATTTTTACAATGCAAAGGTGAATGGACTTTTCTAAAGGAGCATGCTAAAGTCCCAATTTCTTGATCCCACCCAGATAGATAGCCATTCTGCAGCAAGGAATGCTAGACAGCTCTCACTGGTACTTTAACAATGTGTTTAAAACAGGGCTGGAGGACTAGTAATATGGCTCAGTGGGAGAGCCCATAGGGGCCTAGAATGTGTGAGGGCCTAGGTTCAATTCCCAGTGCCATACCTAAAGAGGGACGGAGGACTATCCAGTAACATGGCAGGAGGTTCCAAAGCAACTGGGGTTCAGTGATCACCCTTACTTGCAGAAGCTGGCCACAAACACTGAAGGCCATCAAGGTAAGATTCACAGCTGGCAGACAAATCAAAGGAGTTCGTCATGGCACCACTAAGGTGTGTTTTGGGGAGGTACCCATCTCCTGCATGTGCGATTGTCAACCAGAAAATAGCACCTAGGAGTAAATATAGGCCAAAAAAAAAAAAAAATCTTGAAGAACTATCAATGTTATAAAACCAAATCTCTACTTTTTTGATTCTAAGGGTTTTTCTATATAAATATCAAACGTAGTTATGGATCGATGGAATATGTTTCATATAGCTGTGGTATTTCAGGGAAGCTGTAAAGCGTGCACAGGACAAGTGATGGGCAAGAGGCCTGGACACATACATCCTAAGGGAAGCAACGCAGTGTGCATTGCGGCCTCATGCAGATGCTAGGTTACCCAGCGTGGTCCTGCTAAGAACACCAAATAAAGCCTATCTCCTGACTTGGGACAGATGTCCCTCTAGATGTCCAACACAGAGCCCATCTTCCCAACAGTTTTCCATGTAAGTGGCTACAGTGAAGTCTTGGGGAGAGTGTGGGCCCAGTAAGTGGTCATCCCAAGGTCTCTTCACAGCCAATCTCCAGTTGGCCCTATCCACAGACGCAGCTCCTATATTTCAAGAACTCCGCCCAGTGCCATCTCCCATCAAACCAGAAACACCCTGTGGTTACAAACAAAGGCTGGCTCCAGTGGGGATCACGCTTTTTTTTAATTTAAATAACTTTTTTTCATTTATTTTACATACCAATCAGTTTCCCCTCCCTCCTCTCCTCCTTTTCCCAACTACCCGACCCCCATCTCCATTCAGAAAGGGACAGGCCTCCCACGGGCTTGCACAAAGGCTTCTAACAGTGAAGACAGGACCTCTCCCTGGCGCTGGACTGGCTTTTGGTAACCTGTTTCCCATGCTAGATCATTCCTAAGTATGTCCCAGAGACTCCCATACCCTACAGGGTTCCTCTACACCCCAGGGAAGAGGCACATCAGCAGGCACACTCTTAGGAGCAGGAAGCATCAAGCCAGAAGCGAACCCAGTATCTGACAGACTATTACTCCTGTACACACCCGATGTTTCCCCAAATATAGTGCTGACGGTTAAATATAAACCCAGCAAAAGAAAACCACCATGGCTGCTGTGGACTAGGAATTATAACTACGATCATCTCGACTTACCTATATCCAATGGGCAATGCTGAAAAAGTTGTCAGCTGTTCTACTGAAACAGGCCTGACTGACCTGGAACTGCTCCCAGTTTGCCAGTATACAGCTCAGATTCACACTCTGTTAATTAACAGGGCTGCCCACTAGGGAGCAAACAATGTCAGGAAAATTGGCTGTGGCACCTGTGGGAGGGCAGTGTTCGTATATGTGGTGTCACTGCCAGCTCGAGTCCCTGGGGCTCCAGAGCCTGGACGCTCTGGGCAAGGCCAGCCAGCCAGCCTCTGGCCTCAGGGAAATCTGAATGTGCTGTCAACGTATCACTCCACAGGACAAAACCAATTTCCAGACAGATGATTGTAAGCAGCCGTGTCAGGACTCTCCATGTCCACTTCACTTCTCTCCTACACAGATTCGGTGCTTCCCTGGAGAGACACGTACCACACCCACCGCAGTGCCCAGCCTGGCCAGGGAGCCCAGGTTTCTGTCCCCACGTTGAAGTGAGATAACTGTGGAAACTAGCCCTTTTCAGAGACTACTGACATAGCCAGTCACAGGAAACTCAAGGAATGGGTCTATATCCACCAACAGGACACCTTGACAGACTTTGTCAGGGTGTGACCCTACTTACTGTTCAGAGGACACCTGGTGGCTCCAACTACCCAGACTGCCTGAGAGGCTGCAGGAGCTGTAGGCCCTGAGAACACACTCACATCTTGCCTGTCTCCAGCTAGGGTGAGGACCTTCAGATGTCACAACATGCTGGGCCTCCCGTGCGTGTGTTCTTCTACAATTCTAAGTTAGAAAAGCAGAAAGCAAAGCTCACTAGGGCTTCGGGCCCTACAGCCAGCCAGAGTGCCAATGTTGCTCAGCAAGGACCTGACTGACCTCTCCCTCCTCTGGCCTGCAGCCCAGTCAGCAGTTTTCAGAGACAGCATCCTGGCCTTTCTCCTGCTGAGAAAGATGAAAAGCATCCTCCACAGAGGCACAGCAAACACTGGGAGCCGACAGACCATGTGGCGTGAGGCAATGGCCACCAATGGCCGGCCACTAAGTGGAGGCTGGCCCAGAAAGAAGCTGAACGGCTTGGGAAAGACAGCAACGGCAGATACTGTATCTAAAAATAGGGAAGCCAGACTAAG